TATTTTCAATGATCAAACAGGTACAGGACATATTAACTTCCCTAAAAGCATTTTTTTTGAGACAGGTTATTGCTGTCACCCAGGCTGGAGTGCAGTGGCAAGATCATGGCTCACTGTAGCCTCAACCTCCTGGGCTCAAGCAATTCTCCCACTTCAGTCTCCTGAATAGCTGGGACTACAGGCGTGTGTCACCACACCTGGCTAATTTTTATTATTTATTTATTTTTGTATTTTTTTTTCTGAGACAGAGTTTTGCTCTTGTTGCCCAGGCTGGAGTGCAATGGTGCAATCTCAGCTCACCGCAACATGTGCCTCCCATGTTGAAGCGATTCTCCTGCCTCAGTCTTCCGAGTAGCTGGGATTACAGACATGCGCCACCATGTCCAGCTAATTTCGTATTTTTAGTAGGCATGGGGTTTCTCCAGGTTAGTCAGGCCGGTCTCAAACTTCTGACCTCAGGTAATACACCTGCCTTGGCCTCCCAAAGTGCTAGGATTACAGGCGTGAGCCACCACGCCCAGCTAATTTTTTAATTTTTTGTAGAGACACTGTCTTACCATGTTGCCCAGGTTAGTCTCAAACTCCTGGGCTCAAGCAATTCTCCCACCTTGACCTCCCAAAGTGCTATGATTATAGAATGAGCCACTGTGCCCACCTGACTCTTTAAATTTTTAAAATACAAAGTGATTTGGGAAAGGTAAATATCTATTCTCCATCTTGGACAGAGATTTTCCTCACGTGGTTTGTGTGTTACCCTCTTCAGACTTTACTGGAGAGATTCCCAGCCCTAACTCTGACCTACTACACCAAAATCTTCCAGCAAGGCTCTGGAGTCTGTATTCTAACAATGTTCCCAGATGCTTTTTATGGGTGTATAAGTTTGGAAACCACTGACCTAAAGGATAATTTTTAAAAGTAAACCAACAGCATCATTTGGATTATTGGATTCTTTCCTATTACAGATCACAGACCAGAACTTCAAGGACTATCATGTAAAAACCTAATTATAAGACCAAATATAATTTTAGGAGATTAATAATTAACAACTCTATTTACAAGACTGCATGTCCTTTTGTTGTAAATTACACGTGAAATGTTTCAAGTATACATGTGAAACATCTCAAAGAAATCTTTGGTGGATGTTGTTTAATCCTGACTTGCCTTCCATAAAATTAATCAGTTATTGCCCAAAGTTTTTACTACCCACACATGAGTCTCCAGTAACCCCTAAGGTAGTCTCTGAACAAGCCTAATTTCCTGTATAAAAGAAAACTGGCTTAAAATGAACTGAGTTTGGGCTGCTCACGCCTGTAATCCCAGCACTTTGGGAGGCCAAAGTGGGACAATCACGAGGTCAAGAGATGGAGACCATCCTGGCCAACATGGTGAAACCCCGTCTCTACCAAAAATAAAAAACTAGCCGAGCGTGGTGGCGTGCACATGTAGTCCCAGCCACTCGGGAGGCTAAGGCAGGAGAATCGCTTGAAGCTGGGAGGCAGAGATTGCAGTGAGCCAAGATGGCGCCACTGCACTCCAGCCTGGTGACAGAGGGAGATTCCATCTCAAAAAAACAGAAATGAACTGAGTTTGGTTAACTGTATAAAACTTAGGCTACTTAAACTTAAACTTGTTATCTGTAGGGCCGTGGGGCCCCGCAGGGTCATGGGGTGTCCTTTATGCTGTGCTGAGGTGCAGGAACCGAGAAGCAAAGAGACAGGACACTGAAGAACTGGTGAAGAGTATATGGACTCAGGGGGCCATGCCACCTGTGAGTGGAGGTCGGCGAGAGCCCCAAATGCCCAAATGCATTTGTATTTATCAGGTACAAGCAGGAGACAGGGTTGTGAGTGAGGTCATCATCTATAGGCTTAGCAATAGGACATACATAATCATGTGAGTCACAAGCAAGGGGGTCACCCCATTATGTCACTTGGGCAGAGAGGTGGGCCATGCACAGTAGAGGGCATGGGGTATGCAGTAGTAGAGGGTTGTGTACAGAAAGGGGGTCCACCCCCATTATGTCACCGAGGCAAGGAAGTGGGCTGTGTGCAATAGGTGTCGTGAGCAACACTTCTTATCTGGGGGCTGGAGACTTCAAAGGATTTCTAATACAAGGATACTGTAAGCCAATGCAGTAGGAGCTGACAGACTTGTGCTCTTAAGATATTTATGGGAGGATGATTTGAGCTAGCACAGAAGTGAGAAAAGACTGACAGGGTGTACAGCCACTGTGACTGGTCACACCAGAGAGGTTCTTCTCCCTGGGTTATTTCCAGGATCTCAGGCCTGAGGCCTACTTTTCACAGGCACTGGATGCAAGGTACTATGACTCCTTTATCAGGAGGAGAGGCTCTTGCTCCAAGCCTGCCATATAGAGTATGCCCTTTCAGGCAGGGATGCCACCACCTGGGTCTGTAGTTCTTGTCCTGGTCTAGCTGTTTTCCCATGTACTGCTTTTGTTTTGTGACTGCTCTAGGCATTCCTCCTACTAACTACTATATGGTTATATAGAAGGATTCTATTCTATAAATCAGCACTAAATGTGTCAGTACAGCTCTGACTATAATACCTATATTATATGGAAAGATTATATAGAACTAAGTATGCTAGATATAAGTATAAGCATGATTATGTAAGCTGGATATATGTAAGCTGTAAGTTATACTTCAGGTACTAATTCTATAAACTAAAATATGATCATATTTAAAGGATTATATAAAGGAAATAGCTGAGTAATATCACTGTAAACTAAGATATTCTTTAGGCACTAATTGTGCTTGGGAGATCTAAACAGTTCTCCTTCCTCTGTGCCCCTGGGGGTGGTACCCACAGTTATCAAAAAGGACTGTGAATTCTGCAGCTTTGGAGATGTTTTGACCTAGGAAATACAATCACATTTTCGAATGAGCAGGGTATACAGTGACCTAACGCTAGAGAATCCAAATAGAAGGCTAAAATTGGATTCTAGTCGAAATAGGTTAAAACTAGATTTGACTAAACCTACCTCTCCATCCAATTGAATATGAACCTGTTTTTTTTTTTTTGTTATTTTATAACCAGAATTTCTTGCCATTATGCGATAATGTAATGGCCTCTTGAGAATCCTTTACAGAAACACAGTTTATATGTATATAACATACTAGAAAGGAAACCATTTAACTTGATAATACCACACCCAAATAATTCAGATACCTAACAGAATTTTTCAGTGGAATTACTTGCTTTGGCCAAGTTAATTGGGTAACAAGTATTTTTCTTTTCTCTTTTTTGAGACAGAGTCTTGCTCTGTCGCCCAGGCTGGAGTGCAGTGTTGTAATCTCAGCTCACTGCAACCTCTGCCTCCCAGGTTGAAGCAATTCTCCTGCCCCAGCCGCCCGAGTAGCTGAGACTACAGGTGCGTCACCATGCCCAGCTAATTTTTGTATTAGTAGAGCCGGGGTTTTGCCATGTTAACCAGGCTGGTCTCAAACTCCTGACCTCAGGTGATCCACCCGTCAAGGCCTCACAAAATGCTGGGATTACAGGCATGAGCCACAGTGCCCCGACTTTTTTTTTCTTATACTTTGTTTACACCCTTCATTTACTCCTGATTCTTATCAGTTGTCACTACCTTTGTTCTCAATTTAAAATCTAACTCAGTTCAGTCAGGAAGATCACTTACCTTGAAAGTCTTCCTTCTTTAGAGTTGGGGTGCATGGTGTTCTTGCTGGCAGAGTAGAAATGAGATATCAAGGAAAAAGAACCTATAATACAACTGGGAACCCTTAATTCATTGCAAGAAGTGACTCCAAACCAACTTCCTCAAAAACTAAAGAACTCTTCCAGAAGGCGACTAGTGATAATCTAAGGGGAGAGCTTTTAAAGACTGTAAGACTAAAAATAATACTGTAAAACTACAATGCAAACCTACCCGACAAAACTTTAAAAATATAATTTTATCTTTCCTTAGAGAGACCATAGGAAAATCTACTATTTTCGTTTAAAACATATAACTTCTATTTGTTACTATACTTGGATTTGTGCTACTCCTATTCTGGATTTGTTCCCATGTATCCATGGAACCAGGCCCCTAATAATCTTTACTCAGCATCTCTGCTATTTCTTGAATGAAAATGGAATGGATTGGTGCAATTAATGGCTAGATGTTTAGAAAACACTAGCTATTTTGCTATTTTCTGTGTATACTGATGAAAGCCTACAACTTTACAGACATAAACGAGCCAGGCTGAGAGATTGGGAAAGATGAAGAGAGAAGAGGAAAGGATGGGCTTGTAGCCCTCATCCGGTCAAATTCTCAACTTAGAGCTTCACTTTATCGTAAAATTAGAGGCTAAACCTATTTAAAGCCTCTTCCAAAACTTTTTGATGAAACAGAAATGCCAATCAGTTACCAACATAATTAACAGTGTATCCTGATTTTTAAAAGATGTTTCCCTTTGTGATTTGTTGGAGTTGCAGCGTCAGTCCTGAAGGACCGACCTCGAGAGGCCAGGTAGGAACTGATAAACTGGCAACTAAGTCACATGTTTTCAACGGAATATACCGACATTCAAGTGTCCAAAAAAATAATTTCGAGCCTACTGTTCACAAGTTTGCCAGAAAGCCCTGTTATTGAGACAACTTCGGATCTCAGATACATGAGTTGGTCAGCACCATTCTGCTGGAGGGGATTAAGACTGGATGCTTCGAGCGGAGTTGGGAAGGTTACCATCTGAGCAAACTACAAAGCGCCAGCAGCAGGGCATTTTTCAAGGTCTCTGCCGAAAAATGTTGCGGGAAAAGTCAACCCGCTCCAAATTCCCCGGTGTGGCCCTCACCCGAGGCTCCGGTTCCCTACGTCGGCAAGCTAGGGAAGAGACGGTCCCCTACGATTTAGACACAAACGCCCGCGTGCCGGGAAGGCTATCCCAGGGCTGACACTACCACCTCCGCCGCTTCCGACACCCGCGCTCATGGGAGAGACTCGCGCCGCACGGGAACCTCCGAACCAACGCCGCAGCGCCGATGGGCGTCCCCGCGAGCCAATGGAGGCGCCGAGAGGCGGGGCAGGGAGGCCGAGGGGGCGGGATTTCCCGCACGGCCGCTCGGAGCCTGGAGAAGGCAGTGCTGGCGGGTAAAGCGGCAGCGCCTGCCTGAGAGGGCGGGCCGGGGTCAGCTACAGCGGGCCGGCAGGCGCGGGGAGCTGTGGGCGGCCGCTGCGTCTCCTGCCGCCACCCTCCCTCCGCCACGATGCCGGGGATAGACAAGCTGCCCATCGAGGAGACGCTGGAGGACAGCCCACAGGTGAGGCGCGGGCGCTGGTGGGCGACGAGGGAGAGCCGGGCTGGCGGACCCCAGGCCTGGAGCCTGCGCCGTTCCCGCAGGTGCCCGCCCCGGCCCAGGTGGGCGCCGCCGCCGCCCGGGGCCCCCGCCCGTCGCAGGCCGCACCCCGAGTTGTCGAGGCTGGGTCCGCCGCCCGAGGCCCGCGTGGGCCTGCTCGGCTGGGCCGAGGGCCGCGGGCGGAGACCAAGCCGCTGGTGCTCGTGGGCCGGGCGGTCACGTACGCGCGCGGGTCTGCTTTTTATTTCACGAAAGGCGCCGTTTTTATCTCCGTGATGTGAGGTGCTAAATCTCGATCCTGGAATTTTCTCCCCGAGAAATGCAGAAGGGAGAGAAACCCTGGTAGCCTTATTTAATGATTTCCAAGGCTCAGCAAGCTAGGGAAGGAAATGGATAGTTTTTCTTCGGGAGAGGCTGAAAGGCTGTGACGGGTCCCGGAGCCAAAGACCACTCGCCCCGCCGAGTGTGCCCGTGGCGCGGCCGTGACTGTGGTCGCTGTCACTCGAGCTGTACACGGCGAGTGATGGAAGGTGCCTTCGCGCCGCTCCCAGCAGACTTGTCCTTCATAAAATCATCAAAATAAAAGCCCTGTGTTCTCTGTGTCAGAATGATGCTGGTGTGGTTGCTCTAGCTTGAGACAGTTTTGGAAAATGTAACTATTTGATATTTTTTCAGTACTGAAGAATGAAATCAGCTATACTTTTTAAAATGTTGGCAGGGGATGTAAATTCCATAGGGAAAACTTCATTTCTAAGCCTGCCTTTTTACACGATAATTTAAATGGTTTAACACGGTGGTGCTCGTTGGACACCATTTAGAATGAAACATTTCTGAATTATTGCTCATTTAGAAATGCAGTTGCTCCTACTTCATGTGTCTTTACATTTGAACATGGCCTCCAAAGAAGAAAAGCAGAAGAGGTCCAGATTTCCCTTTCCTGGATGGCACTTCTGTCTTGGATTTTGTGCTAGTGTTAATTGCCAAGTTGAAATGGAGCTCTGATTGTAGAATTGATTTGTTCCTTTTCATTCTGAAAGTTATCTTCACAGGCCAGTTGCCTGCTGCTAATGTACTCTTATCAGCCTATACTGACAAAAAGAGAAACTCACATTTGGTTTATCTTGATTGCCAGTATACCCAGTTCAATTTTTTCTTGATGAATTCTCCATATACAGTTATAAACAATATTTGTTTCAGCTGAATGGCAGAAAGCTTATGGAATTGGTCAGGTGAACTTTGTCATTTTACTTTTTATTATGTGAGATTCAACAGGTTGCTTTACCTTCTCTTACCTGGCTTTTTTTTTTTTTTTAATAGCCCATAAAGACTATAAATGGCTCAGAATGGATTGCGCATTGCCCTAGATATGACTTGTGAGGCAGAGACAAACTCTTGACTCATCTGATTTCTTGAGCTTCTTACACAGATTAGTTTATAATTTAAGAATTGTGTTGAGCCGGGCGCGGTGGCTCAAGCCTGTAATCCCAGCACTTTGGGAGGCGGAGGTGGGTGTATCACAAGGTCAAGAGATCGAAACCATCCTGGTCAACATGATGAAACCCCGTCTCTACTAAAAATACAAAAAATTAGCTGGCGCATGCCTGTAATCCCAGCTACTCAGGAGGCTGAGGCAGGCGAATTGCCTGAACCCAGGAGGCGGAGGTTGCGGTGAGCCGAGAGATCGCGCCATTGCACTCCAGCCTGGATGACAAGAGCGAAACTCCGTCTCAAAAAAAAAAAAAAAAAAAAAAAGATTTATTTATTTATTTTTTTGCAAGCATGTATCATACTAGTGTCAGTTTTACACTATGTTTGTTTTTGTTGAGATGGGGTCTTGCTATGTTGCCTAGGCTGGAGAGCAATGGCTGTTCACAGACATTAGCATAGTGCACTACACCCTGGAACCCCTGGGCTTAATCAGTCCTCCTGCCTCAGCCTTTCTACAGCTCGAACTACCGGCATGTGACACAGTGACAGCTAATTTTTAATGAAGTAGCCACATTGATATTCCTTCAGTGTTTAAAGACAGTAAGTTTGAACTAGGTAAAATTTACTTGGGAAACTTAATTGGGACAACTGGGATTTAGAAAGTGTAGATACTTGGAGGTGATTCTTAGATTGAACCCGTGGCAGAATGAAAAGCCTTGGATTTAGGATAGAGGTACTTTTTAGTCATCACTGCCACTTACTACCTTCTGCTTTAGGACAAATCACTCAATTTCTCTGAACCTTAGCTGTTGTACCTTAATGGCGTGTTTTTATTTTTGACCCTGATTAGGAAAAATAATAGTTGCTTGTTTCAGAAAAATTGGAAGGTCCAGAAAAGAATAGACACACCTGTCGGGTACTCAGCAAAACCCTATTAACAATTTGCTTTCTTTATTCTACTGTTTTTTCCTCTACATGTTCTAATGGAATTGAGATTATATTGTACATAATGATCTTTTTCCTGCTTTTAGCTTAGCATTATAGCTTAAGTATCTTCATAATGTTTTTAAATTCCAAATAAAAATTGTGAAGACTACACATTGCCTTAACTGATTTCCCAACCCATTGCTGGACTTTTAGAGTTTTCCCAAAGTTTGGATTTTATAAATAGGGCTGAGATTAATGTTTTGGGCCATACGTTTTGTTCTCAGTTTGAACTATTTTATCTACAACAGAGTCCAAGAAGTAGAGCAGCAAAGAATATGAAAGACTTTAAAAAATTGGTAAATTTTTGGGTTTTGTTGAGACAGAGTCTCACTCTGTCGCCTAGGTTAGACTGTAGTGGCGCAGTCATGGATCAGCAACCTCAGGCTCCTGGGCACACCCCACTAAGCCCAGCTAATTTTATTTTATTTTGAAGATGGAGTTTTTCCCTTGTTGCCCAGGCTGGAGTGCAGTGGCACGATCTTGGCTTGCTGCAACCTCCGCCTCCAGGGTTCAAGTGATTCTCCTGTCTCAGCCTCCCAAGTAGCCCAACTGAAGAATTTTTTATAGAGACAGGGTCTCACTCTGTTGGCCAGGCTCATCTTGAACTCTTGGCCTCAAGGGTTCCTCCCACCTCAGAGTCTCAAAGTGCTGGGATTACAGATGTGAGCCACTGTACCAGGCCCAAAAGTTTTTTATTTGATCAGTTTTTAATTTTTTTAGATTATTTAGATCTAATCAAAAGAGGCCTGCCAGTTGTTACATAAAAAAGTTAGAGCCTTGGCCAGCCCCAGTGGGTCATGCGTGTGGACACTTGAGGGTGGGAGTTCAAGACCAGCCTGGGCAAAATAGCAAGACCTCATCTCTACAAAAAATAAAATTAGCTGGGCGTGGTGGTAGGAGCCTGTGGTTCCAGCTATTGAGGAGGCTAAGGCAGGAGGATCGATTGAGTCCAGGAGTCCATGGTTGCAGTGAGATGTAATGCACACCATTACACTCCAGCCTGGGCAATAGAATGAGGCTTTGCCTCAAGAAAAGAAAAAAGAAAAAAAAAGAAGAGCCTAGGAGTGATGGAAGACTATCCTAAATTACAGTTATCTTTCTTTTAGTTTTGATTTATTTAGTAACTACTTACTAAATTAGGGAGAATTTGCAAGTCCAAAATCCAGCTTAAAAAGCATCTTTTAAGGATACTGCCTGGAACCTGGGGGGGAAAAAGCATCTTTAGAATTACCTTGCCCAAACCACACAATTCTGCAAAAGAGGATCCGTTAAGCCAGAAAATCTTAAACTTGTACTAGATGCCTTGTCCATATTTATATGTTGTTTTAAAAATTAAAATAAAAATAAACCTTGTTAATTAGTAAAAACAGATGATGTAAAAAAAATAATTGATTTTATGTATAGGTGTGTATCTTAATGATTCATCTATGATAGAACAGTGAAGACAAACCCCATTCCCAAAGGGAATCTTCCTTTGTGTAATATGAAATACTCATAGATTATGAGATGTGCCTTTCTCCCTAACATTTTAATGTTTCTGATTGGGATTCTTCTTACAGTTGATGGTATATTAACAATTGCTGACAGCCAGGTAGCAGTAGTAATGTACTTCACATTGCCTGCCAATGTACATACTTGGTTGTTTCTCCTAGTAGCATGCTGGCCAAGTGTAGGCTCTCAGTGTTAAACTAACAAATCAATTTTACCACCATTTGAGGAAGGAATATCAGTCCTGATTGTTGTCTGAAAACCTTCCTTTGACACCTGGTGAGACGTCAAATGACATCATCAAAACTTGCTGAATGAATGTTTAGGGACAAAAATGGAACACATCTAAGAAATACTTATTTCCTCATGTCACAGAGAATAATATTGTATAGGAAAACATGGATATTGATGACTCTTGAGTAGAATAAGATTTGAACTTCTTTTTCTTTTTTTTGAGACGGAGTTTCGCTGGGATTACAGGCTTGACCCACAGCGCCTGGCTGATTCTATATTTCTAAACTGCTAACTTTAAATAGTAATTATCCAGTGTTGAACTTGATATTATTAACTTAAAATAGGGAATCTGTTTCAGCCTTCTTTGAGCTTTTAAATTTAGTTATGCTACAAGTTTTTACATAACTATGTAACTCCTTGAATTGGAATTACCCATTTTTAGGAAAAAAAACAAAAACAAATAAAATGTCAGATTTTTCTTAAGAATGGCAGTAGCCAAACAAGATTTCCTGATACTTTCTTTTTTATGTCTTAAAATAGCACTATGGGGAATTGTAGTGGAGTATTTGAAAAAGAGTCTGTTAAATCCAAACCTCTGAGGCCCGGGGAAGTAGAGGACAGAAAATATGGACCTACTGGCATAATGATCTTGTGTCTTTTCCTCTCCTTTATACCATATCAACTTAGCTTTCTCTTCCCAAAATAGGAAGCCAAGGAATAAGTTGATCTTAAAAAAAAAAAAAAAAAGGCCTGGCACAGTGGCTCACACCTGTAATCCCAGTACTTTGGGAGGCTGAGGCGGGTGGATCACCTGAGGTCGGGAGTTCAAGACTAGCCTGACCAACATGGAGAAACCCCTTCTCTATTAAAAAAACAAAATTAGCCGGGTGTGGTAGCACATGCATGTAATCTCATCTACTTGGGAGGCTGAGGCAGGAGAATTGCTTCAATCTGCAAGGCAGAGGTTGAGGTGAGCCAAGATTGTGCCACTGCACTCCAGCCTGGGCAGCAAGAACGAGACTCCATCTCAAAAGAAAAAAAAAAAATTCTGGCCATGTGTGGTGGCTCACACCTGACCTGCAATCCCAGCACTTTGGGAGGCCAAGGTAGGAGGATTGCTTGAGCCCAGGAGTTTGAGGCCAGACTGGGCAACATAGTGAGACCCTGTCACTACAAAAAATAGAGAAAAAGTAGCCAGACATGGTAGCACATGTCTATAGTTCCAGCTACCTGGGAGGCTGAGGTGGGAGGATTGTTTGAGCCTGGAAAGTCAAGGCTGCAGTGAGCCGAGATCATGTTACTGCACTCCAGCCTGGGAGAAAGAAGGAGACCCTGTCTCAACAACGATCGCAACAACAGTTTTAAGGCTGAGGCATAAATTATTTTTAGAATAAAAATACAAAGTCATCTTTTAGATTGTAAGGTATAGTTATCTCTAGTAGTCATTGGTATTTTCATTTTCCCCCTGCCCTTGGGATGTAATGTGTGTCTTTCTTGCCTTTTATAGCCTTGGTTTCCTTATCTTTGATAAATTTTTATTGACATTCTTAACATTTGCTTATAAGCTTTCCCCTTAAATATGAAGATAATTTTTTTTTTTTTCTGAGACGGTGTCTCCCTCTGTGGCCCAGGCTGGGGTGCGGTGGCATGATCTTGACTCACTGCAACCTCCACCTCTTGGGTTCAAGTGATTCTCCTGCCTCAGCTTCCTCAACAGCTGGGACTACAGGCACGTGCCACTATGCCTGGCTAATTTTTTGTGTTTTAAGTAGAGATGGGGTTTCCCCGAGTTAGCCAGGCTGGTCTCGAATTACCTCTTCCGCCCAGCTCAGCCTCCCAAAGTGCTGGGATTACAGGTGTGAGCCACTGTGCCCAGTCTAAAATGAAGATAATTTTTAAATGTGCGTAGTAGAAAAACAACAAAACAAAAGCCAAACAATATAGACATGTATATAAGAAGAAAGGAAAACCCCCAAATTCTGCATTCAGAAACACCAAGTTAGCTTTTTATAGGCTGAAGAGTTAGTCATGTTGGGGAGGGTGTACTGTGGTATTTTAGATTAGGACAGGGAGGGGGTTCACCTCTTCTAGAAAAACCTATAGAAGAAAAGAAATAATCATACTAAATTATCTTGAAATAAGATGTTTAAAATATTTATACTGCAAAGAATCATGTAATTTAGCTTTGAATGTTTCTGTTGATTTGTTTTTAGTTTATAGAATTTTTAGTTTATGAAAGTATACCTCTGTTATTCCTCCTAAAGTTTGTGTGACATAGTTGGAAAATACCTCTGCTTTGTTGAACTGAAACTGAAAACTAAAAAACTCTGACTTCTTAACTTTACTATCAAAAGAGAGAAAATAGATTAAAACTCAGAATTGTTAGAGCTTTAATATCTTAAGATTTTTGCTTCCTTTATAAGAAGTATTTTGCCATCTGATTTTTGTATAATGGTTAACATAAACTTATTGCTATTATTTTATACAGACAAGATCTTTACTGGGTGTATTTGAAGAAGATGCCACAGCTATTTCCAACTATATGAACCAGTTGTATCAAGCTATGCATCGGATTTATGATGCACAGGTAAAAAGCTAAGGACTAACTTAATACTTTTAAAACATGAATCTTTAAGCCCCATGAGGAGAGAGATAGTGTCTATCTTGTTTACCAGTGTTTAACCGTGTACTAGGCTCCTAGTAATAAATATTTGTTGAATGGATGAATGACTATTAAGTGTATTACAGAACTTACATTTCAGTTACTAGGGTACAGCATATAGTACTGGAAAAGTGATGGAAGATCTGCCCATTCTCTCCAAACACAGTATGGGGAAACCACCCCCATGAAACTCTGATAGTGATCTTTCCTAAGATTTGAATAAAGATCTTATATCATCACCATATTTTCCCTAATCATGCTTATTACAATCTTATGGAACTCTTCCTGTCTACCCCCACTCTGTCCTGCTTTTTTTTTTTTTTTTGAGAGGTAGTTTTGTTCTTGTCGAGGCTGGAGTACGATGGTGCAATCTCGGCTCACTGCAACCTCCACCTCCCAGGTTCAAGCAATTCTCCTGCCTCAGCCTCCTGAGTAGCTGGGACTACAGGTGTGTGCCACTACGCCTGGCTAATTTTGTATTTTTAGTAGACGGGTTTCACCATGTTGGACAGGCTGGTTTCGAACTCCTGACCTCAAGTGATCTGCCCACCTTGGCCTCCCAAAGGGCTGGGATTATAGGAGTGAGCCACCACACCTGGCCAACACTTACCCTTTTTGAGTAGAGGATTTGAAAGTAGGCTGCCTCTAGATGCAGCTCTGGAGTACAAGAGCATGAAGGGTATGACTAGGTTTTCTTGTTGACCAGCATAAAATTTGAAGCTGTGTTTGGATTACTTAATTATAACTTAAACAACAACCTAGGTTCTGTGTTACACTTTCTTTGGGATTGAGTGTACAAATTTTATTTTTTTCCCTTTTCATATTCTTTGCTTTCTTAATTCATGTTTTTGTTACGTACTTAAGAGTTGTTATGTTGTTGTTTAGTTTTTGCTTATGATCGGGCTCTGAAGCTTTGCTTTCTGACCACAGAGATATGTGTTTAACATGTTAAATAAGGCTGGTTGTGGTGGCTCAAGCCTGTAATCCCAGCACTTTGGGAGGCTGAGGCGGGTGGATCACGAGGTCAAGAGATCGAGACCATCCTGGTTAACATGGTGAAACCCTGTCTCTACTAAAAATGCAAAAAATTAGCTGGGTGTGATAGCATGTGCCTGTAGTACCAGCTACTCAGGAGGCTGAGGCAGGAGAATTGCCTGAACCCAGGAAGTGGAGGTTGTGGTGAGCCGAGATCGTGCCATTGCACTCCAGCCTGGGTAATGAGTGAAACTCCGTCTCAAAAAAAAAAAAAAAAGTTTTTCATATGGCTGTGTTGCTATGCCGTATGACTAGATCAACCACATTTTCGTTGCATGTTATTAAGTGCTTACTGTAGTCTAGTATCAGCATCTACAGAGAGGGATAATCAGTCATGAATGTAGACTCTCCAAAGATTTTGCTAAGATTATGTCAGTTTATTTCTAGGCTTTAAAATATTTAATGCTTAGTTTTTATCAGCAACAACAAAAACAAAAAAAACACAAGGAACACTGCTGAATTCCTTGACAGTGTCTATTTTATGTTTTGAGTTTTAAAGTGCTTTAATGGTAGTAACTGTTTCCGGTGATTTAATGAAGTTTTTAAAAAACATGTACAATATTTATGTTAAGTGATAGTAAATAAATTAGGTATATTCAACTAAAACTTTTCTTACTAGTACGCTAATTTGAATGCTTTTTCCATAGAATGAATTAAGTGCAGCAACACACCTGACCTCAAAACTTTTAAAAGAATATGAAAAACAGGTATTGTATATCAAAGTTTTAAAAGCATAGTTTTAAAAGTACAGCATCTGTATAGAAAGATAGACTTTCATAAAGAATCCTTAGTTTTCTTGAATTCACAGAATATCCCTTCGAAATTTCATGATAGCACTTATGTTGAGATAATTTTAATGATTTAATATTAAATACAGAGGCTGTCTAGTTTACCTATTTTCTTTTTACAAATGAAGAAGTTGTGACTTGCTCAACATTACACTGTATTGGAGGAACTGGAGCTAAATGCTAAATCTTTGAACTCCCAATTCGGTGTGTATTCCAGTTTGCCATGTCAATCGGTTACCTAACAAACATTTTAATTAACGTTTATTAATTATATATTATATTACAGGGTTTTAGTTAAATGATATTTTATAACTTACTCAAAATTTTAGACGTTTTCTGAAGTGATTTAAAAATGTAAATTATAGTAATGTAATTCCCAAAAGACACAACATTGAAACTTTACCTCATCTCTGTTTCTCGTTTTTCAGCGTTTTCCACTGGGAGGTGATGATGAAGTTATGAGCTCTACATTACAACAGTTTTCAAAAGTTATAGATGAGGTAAGCATTTATTTTATTTTGCTTGATTAAATGGTCTTATGGTAAACCCAGTTTAGCTTTTATTTATGAGTAAAGCTCAATTACAAAGATGACTAAAGAATAGCCTTACTTCTACATCCTGGTGGCTAGCTTATTAAACAATACTTTCTTTCTCTGATTAAAACATCGTTTGCCAGGAATAAACATATAAATGTGCTTCTTCTACATGTAGTCCATTTAGTCTTGACCTGTGTCATTTGATGTAGGCAGGGAGAGAAGAGTTAGGTTGTGAGCTACATCTGGGTTCTTTGTGGTTGCTCTTTTGCTATGGAGCAACTTTATACTGTTCAGTCTTTATTAATCCTGCCCTCCTAAACAGCCAAAATCAACCCTAAATTCCTCAGTCATCACAACATATCATTAAAACAAAGACCTAAAGTCTAAGAGGAAGAAAAGGTAATGAGATAATGTGGAGAATCAGTAAATGTTCTCCACTGTTGCAGTAAAACCTCTTCTTTTCACATGGACCATTAGATAGTCCTGCATTTTCTAGAATTTTAACTAGAAAAGTAATTTTTTTGAAATATTATAACAGGAAATCAAGATAAAGAAATAATTTTTTTCATTAAAAAAATTTGTGGTAAAATACACATGGCATAAAATTTGCCATTCATGACATTTAGTACATTCACAGTGCTGTGCAACCATAACCACTGTTTGGTTTTTCATCATCTCAAAGGAAGCCTTGTGCCCATTAAGCAGTGTGTTAGTCTATTTTCACACTGCTGATAAAGACATACTTGAGCCTGGGTAATTTATAAAGAAAAAGAGGTTTAATGGACTAACAGTTCCACGTGACTGGGTAGGCCTCACAATCATGGCAGAAGGTAAAAGCATATCTTACATGGTGATAGATGACAGAGTGAAAGACAAGTGAAAGGGGAAACCCCTTATAAAATCATCAGATCTCCTGAGACTTACTCACTACCATGAGAACCATATGGGGGAAACTGCCCCCATGATTCCGTTATCTCCCACTGGCTCCCTCCTACAGCACATGGGAATTATGGGAGCTGCAATTGAAGATAAGATTTGGGTGGGGACACAGCCAAACCATATCAAGCAGTCACTTCAGCCTCCCTGCTCCCTCAGCCCTTGTCAACCACCAATCTGCTTTCTTTCTCTATGAATTTGCCTATTTTTGATATTTCATATAAATGGGCTCATAATTTGTAGATTTTTTAATATCTGCTTTCACTTAGCATAATGTGTTCAAGGTTCATTCATATCGTAATATGCCTCAGTATTTTATTCCTTTTTTGGCTAAATAAAGTTTCATCGTTATTGATATACCATATTTTGTTTATTTAGTCATCTCTATATATCTGTGTATCTGTTTATCTAGTCATTGTTTGTGTTGTTTCTGCCTTTTAACTAGTTCAAATAATGTTGTTATGAGCATTCATATACAAGTGTTTTTTTTTTTTTTTAACAACAGTTTTCACTCCTTTTGAGTAGGTACCCAGGAATGGGATTGTTGGGTCATTGCATGGTAATTTTATGTTTATTTAAAAGTTAAATAATTATAGAAAACTGCCAAACTGTTTTCTATAGTGCCTGCATCATTTTACATTCCTCCTAGCAATATAGGAGGGTTCCAGTTTTTCCACATCCTCACTAACAATTATTTTGTTTATGTGTATTTAAATTTTTTAAAAAAATTATAGCCATCTGAGTGAATATGAAGTGGTATCTCATTGTGGTTTGGATTTGCATTTTCTTGATGTCTAATGATCTTGAGCACCTTTTCATGTGCTTATTGGTCATTTGTTTATCTTTGAAGAAGTTCTTCAGATCCTTTGCCTATTTTTAAATTAGGTTGTCTTTCTATTATTGAGTTGTAAAACTTCTCTGTTCTGGGTACACGTTCTTTATCAGTTACTTAATTGGCAAATATTTTAATGTTTTCTCCTATTCTGAATTTTTTTTTCCACTTTCTTGATGGTGTGGTTTGATGCATAGAAGTTTTAAATGTTGATGATGTCTATTATATATTTTCTTTTGTTCCTTGTGCTTTTAGTGTCATATGCAAGAAACTATTACCAAATCCAAGGTCATTCTATGTTTTCTAAGAGTTTGGTAGATGGAATTTTTTTTGACTCTATAGTATTTGGTACTATATCACATAATTTTTAGTGTTTTTTTACGTAAAATGTATCAGAACCTTTTTTATTAGATTCTGTTTAATTTATATAACACTGGTTAAATGTCTATATATAGTTATTTGGCCTTTTTGGTCTTTCATTTTCTAGCTTAGCTCTTGCCATGCAGTACTTTCAACTCAGCTTGCTGATGCCATGATGTTCCCCATTACCCAGTTTAAAGAAAGAGATCTGAAAGGTATTGAAGTCAAGCTTATGTTTACTTTCATTGGCTGTGAGATCAGTGCTTGTAAAATGCATATTACTCTATACCTGCACCATTTCTGGACCACAACCTGTGCCACTCTTATTTTGCTCAGTTACCAAATATTTATAGGAGCTCCTGCTAAATGTCAAACTAGATATTGAGAAATACTGATATGGATAAAATATCCCCTCTTTCAAGAAATTCTAGAGAAGGAAGTAGGCACACACATAATTACAACACTTATATCTCTTATAATTAGGGAATAAGCAAGGTACTGTTGGGGCTGGTAGGAGGAGCAAAGCTTCACCCAAGGATGTGTCATGAGCATTGAACAGTGAAGAGAAATTTGCCAGGGGAAGAGTCATTGTTCTGTTAGAGGGACTAGAGTGCACAGGTATGGCTTGTAGAAATACACTGCCTGTTTTGACAGTAGGAAGAAACTCAGTATGGCTGTAATGCTGGCTGTGTCAGAGTGAGGGAGGAGATGAATCCAGAAATAGAGTAGTGGGAGTAGGTCATGCTAGACTTGAGTTTATGAACGAAGGAGAAGCCAGTGGGGGTCTTTAAGGAGAGACACAATTCCTTTGAAGGATGGAATAGAGTGGCCTTGTTATGTAGGAGACTAGACTGGTAAGTTTAGGGAGTCCAGTGAGATATGACCAAGGCCTGAATTAGGATAGTGGCACAGGGTATAGAGGTGTGTGTATGGCCTGAAGTGGCAAGAGGTAGGGGTACTGGCACATCTAACAATCTGCAGCCTAGTAGTTTGTAGGTTTTATTTTCACCCATTTAGGATTACTAGGTTTTATAGAATTATGAGAGTTTTATAGAATTGGTTCTGCTTTCCTATAACTTGAAATCTTAGTCATACAGACTTTCCAAAATATGTAGACAGATTAAAAATATTGAACTAATGTATCAGTGAATGGTAAAGTATTTAAATTATACATAGAATACAGACAAATGCATATTATACTACTATTCTATACCTACACCATTTCTGTACTGCAACCTGTGCCACTTTTACTCAGTCTCCAATACATCTCTAATGTATTTTAAAGATGGAGTTACTAACTGTGGCTGTGATCCTCAAGAATGGTCATTTCTAAGGTCTAGAATAAGATCTCTTTTCTTATAATGTAAGGGGACTGAATGGTGTAATCTTATCAATAAGGTGTTTTGTTTCTCATTTAGTGTTTCAGTGTTTAGATTCATGTATCAAGAATGCATGATTCTGGCACTAAATCAGAATATTTGCATATGTTAGCATTTATAGTGGGTTTTTGAAATTTGTTTTTGTGTCATATCACTAAACAAAGTAGATTTGTAGCGAGTAGATTTTCTGTTACTAATGATTGTAAGTGTTCCGTAGACTAGCTGAAACACAGAGTAGCTTTTTCACCTTGAATGTTGAAGTATGAAATATTATTTGGAATTTTAATTATAGTTTGTGGTAGTTATTGTTTTCCAAACAGTTGTATTGTGTAAGTATGCCAAACTTAAATTATTCTCGAACTTTTTCAGAAATACTAACGTTAAAGGAAGTATTTCAGATTGCAAGTAACGGTAAGCCCTATAATTTGCACACTTATTTCTTGCAGTGATGTATTTATTTATCAGTTCATATCTGTGACCAGACTCTTTGTAATAATTGAAAAAAAGAGAACCCGATTAAAAATAAGTGAACATTAATTAAATCAGTCTTGCTGTTTAAATTACACTGTTTATACTATAAGTAAAATCTTAAGGAAATTAAGTCTTATAGGCTACTAGCTGCATAATACTTAGAGATGGTGTAATAGTTTACCTTTCTTGTTCTTTTATATATTCCCATTTTTCTTTAATGAGTGTTATATATGTATATATTTTAAGATATGGGGTCTTGTTCCATTGCCCAGGTTTGAGTACAGTGGCTATTCAAGCCACAATCATAGCATACTGCAGTGATCCTCCTGAGTAGCTGGGACTGTTGGCACGTGCTGCTGTGTTTAAGCTGCGTTTGCTATTTTTGTATTAAAAAATACTTTATAAAAGTTTAGTACATTGCAGTTTCCTTAGAATTAATTTTTTTTAAAAACCAATTTGATAAGACAACACAGAGTTTAGGGGAAATTTGGCTGCGAGGAAAATTTGAGTGCAGTGATCATGTGGTAGGAAATTCTTGCTTTAGTACATTTTTGGAAAGATGCACATGAGAAGACCATTTAAAGCATTTCTAAGTTTTGAAAATTATTGTTGTATTGTCACTTGTTTCTTTTTTCCAGATCATGATGCTGCAATTAATAGATACAGCCGATTGTCAAAAAAAAGAGAAAATGACAAGGTGTGATACATGTTTATTCCTTCAGTGTCATAATTAATGGCTATGCATTAGGTGGTCTAAAAAATAGAACCATCAGTTACTTTGTATATTTTGGTATATTGCTCTTATTCTTTCCTTCTAGCTGTTTGAAACCTTTCTGATAGTCATTGACCTCTTTAAACAAAAATATTTTCTTCTGCCAAAATGTGGTGTTATAACTAAGCATAGCTATTCTGGAAATGTAACTGACACCCTGTATATAACATTGCCTCTTGTTGCTTTGGATTTTGATGACATGGCATTGGTTCGGTTTGAATATATGCATGTTCAAAAATGTCTTCTGAGATAGAGTGGTCAGAAAGTAGAATTGTCACACCCATAATGAAATTCTGTTATGAGACCCTCCTTATTTACAGAAATAGATATCTTTTGATATTTGTTCAAGGAGTAAAATACAGCAGTATTAACACTGTATTTGAGGAGAAACGCATTCAAGTGAAGATGAGAGAACAGAATATTAACAAGTTCTTCTGGGCATGCCTTAAGATCATGTCTTTCTCCAGCACCTAGTCCAAGGCTTAATGTGTAGGTCTTTATAGATGTTTGTAACTGAGGTGATCTCTCTGCCTGGATGTTGGTGTCTGCAGCTTTGGCTTCAGCTGCTTGTAGAGACACAGTGACCTGCTTGTGGGAATCCACAACTGGGTAGGATTTACTGTGCAATACCTACTATGACAAAAGGAAATGTTTCTCACACAAAGTTTAGTACAAAGATTTGCTTTATTTCTAATTTTAGCTGCAGACTACTTAATGGTATATTGATAAAATATATACATTTTGAGATTTATATTAGTCACTTGGCCTTAGAGAAGTAGTTAAAGGCTCTAGGTATAAAATTTGATATATATTACATTACTTCTGGCTGTTCAAAGTATTTTAAAAAACATTCTTTCACCAATTTTATTTTATTTAAAAATTCATTGAGCACCTGATATATGTCAAGAATATATTAGTTATACCCAACTAGTCTGTTTGGTATGTTGGGGGAACAATGTGAGTAGGCTTCACTCCTGCCCTCAAAGACTGGATACTCCACATTTATTGAAGGCTTCCTTTGTGAAGGTGTGCAAGTCGACTAGGAACCAGAGTACAAGGATGACGACAAGGCAGGGATTAACTCTGTTATTAGTTAAATACAGTAATAGGGGTTTTAATAAAATGCTGAGAGAGCACAGAGAGGGCAGCAGTTACCTTTGATTAGTGAATTGGGAAAGGTTACACTTTTTTTTTTGAGACAGGGTCTCATTCTGTCTCCTAGGCTGGACTGCAGTGGCGCTATCTTGGCTTACTGCAATCTCTGCCTCCCAGGTTCAAGTGATTCTCCTGCCTCAGCCTCCCCAGTAGCTGGGATTATAGGTGTGTGTCATCACACCCACCTAATTTTTTGTATTTTTGGTAGATACAACATGGTGAAACCATGAGACCAGGCTGGTCTTGAACTCCTGATCTCAAGTGGTCTACCCACCTCAGCCTCCCAAAGTGCTGGGATTACAGACATGAGCCACTGCACCTGGCCAGGGAAGGTTACACTTTTAAAAGGTGACATTTACATTGAAGATAAGTGGATAACACCAGTTTGGAATCCAAGAGAGTGCTTTCCTGTAAGAAATACAGCCTTTCAGAGGCACATGGTAGAGTTGGAACAGTGTAAAGGTTAAGAGTACTCTGTGACAATAAAGGAAGTGTTTGGAGATATGGCAGAAAGGGTAAGAAGTATATTGGGACCAGATTACTATATTAATGACCTTGAAATTTGTGTTAGAGGGAGTGGGTAACCTCCAAGGATTCTAAGTAGGTGAATAACACCATGCAGTTATGTTATAAAACAAGCATACTAATGAAAATGTGAAGAGGACAAGACTAGAGGGAATCCAAGGAAAGGAATTGGAATAGTTTGCAAAAATATAATGAAGGTCTCAGCTAAGGTTGTTACTGAAAGTGGAGAGGACAGAGTACTTTTGGGAGATATTTCCTAAGTAGAATTGACAAGATTTGTGGTAATAGGAATAAAAAATGAGTCCTAGATTTCTTGGATGTCTGGATGGATCCTGTAGTAATTAAGAGAGCTAAGAAACAAAGTAGAAGAACAGGTATTGTGTACAAAACTATCTTCAGTTTTGTACATTTTCAGCACACAAACACATGTAAAAAACCTAGCTGGAGATGTGTTTCCTCTGTCACTTGGGAGAGTGAGAGGCAGGAGATAAAATCTGTGAGTCATTGAGTCATTGGTATATTGGAATATTAGAATATTCTTGGTACTTGATGAGGGATTCTAAGGAAAGCAGGAAGACAGAACCTAATGCCTATTAGATAATAGGTATTCAATAAATATTTGTTGACTGAATAAAAGAACTCTGTTAAGCACACGTATTTCAAATATGGGTGAAGGAAGACAAAAAGGTTCAAGAGAGGAGGACTGATAGGGAGAGAACCAGGAGGGAAGAATGGTATACTATGAACTGATCAAAGTCAAAGACTAATGGCTAAGCTAATACCAGCAATTGTCTGCCCTTCCTCCCTGTGATAAGCTTTCTCTACCATGCGTAGTTGAGTTACTGTACCATTCTTAATTATGTACGGAATTCTGTTTTCAATATGCTTTGTTTTTTTTGAGACCATCTCTTTCTGTTGCCAGGCTAGAGTACAGTAGTGTGATCTCAGCTCATTGCAACCTCTGCCTCCCAGGGTGAAGCTATTCTTATGCCTCAGCCTCCCCAGTAGCTGGAATTACAGGTGTGCACCACCGCACCCAGCTAATTTTTTCCATTTTTAGTAGGGCAGGGATTCACCATGTTGACCAGGCTGTTTTCAAACTCCTGGCCTCAAGTGATCTTCCCCTCTCCCCTTCCCTAAATGCTGGGATTACAGGAATGAGCCACCACACCTGGCCTCAATATGCACTTTGTAAATTATTTGGTTGGAAGTTAAACAGGAAAATTGACTTAACCAATGTTGAGGGATTTCTAAAAGATCAGAAAACAGGAACATTAATGCTCAATTGCTTGTGATATACCTTTTCCTTGGTTAGGCTCTTCCCCACAGCTCCTACTGAAGATAATTCAAATAATTATCTACTATAGATAAAGTAGATACAGAAGATAATTTACCATTATTTACTTAATTTTTTAAATCTTTTCATTCAAAGGTGAAGTATGAAGTAACAGAAGATGTGTATACGTCCAGAAAGAAACAACACCAGACCATGATGCATTATTTTTGTGCATTAAATACTCTTCAGTACAAGAAGAAAATAGCATTGTTAGAACCTCTACTTGGGTACATGCAAGCTCAGGTAAATACTGTACGGTATTTTGGATTATAACTGTTCTAAAAGCTTTATATTAAGCTTGATATTTATGTTAAGTATAAAGATATTATAAACTATTTTCCTTTTTTTGCGAATGGGTGGAGTCTCACTCTGTCACCCAGACTGGAGTGCAGTGGTGCCATCTTGGCTCACTGCAGCCTTCACCTCTCAGGTTCCAGCGATTCTCCTGCCTCCGCCTCCACCTCCCAAATAACTGAGATTACAGGTGTGCACCACACACCTGGCTAATTTTTGTATATTTAGTAGAGACGGGGTTTCACCATGTTGGCTGGGCTGGTCACGAACTCCTGACCTCAGGTGATCCGCCTGCCTGAACTTCCCATAGTGCTAGGATTACAGGTGTGAGCCACCATGCCTGGCTTATGAACTATTTTCAAAATCCTTGTTCATGTCTGTGTTGTAAGAAGTAATTTTTAAAAATATCATCAGACTATTATTTTAAGGAAGTTAGGAAGAATGGTTTTCCTTACAAATAAAGATTTCAAATATTTTAGGAATAACAACTTGTTCACCTTAGCTGGGGACTGAGAACAGAAAGCTAAATTAATTTCAGAGTTACACCTATTGCTAGAGCTTCAACTAAACACCTGCTTCATAATAGATCTGAAAGAGAATGAGCAAGTTTGAGTTTATCGTTTATCCCACATTTTTTGCATACTTCCTCAGTTAATAGAGTAACTCCAAAGTGCCCAAAGAGGTGTACATCAGGAAGAGGACTAGAAAATTTATGTTTTAGGTGGTATGAAACATAGCATCAGTCTTCTAAAAATCAAGAGATTAAAGAAATTTGAGGCCAGGTGTGGTGCCTCATGCCTATAATCAAGCACTTGGGTAGGCCAATGTAGGAGGATCACTCGAGTCCAGGAGTTTTGAGACTAGCCTCAGCAATGTAGGAAGACCCCACGTCTACAAAAAATGAAAAAATTAGCTGGGCATGGTAGCATGCCTCAGTGGTTCCAGCAGCTTCGAAGGCTGAGTCATATGAAGGCTGAGTCATATGATTTTAATATATCAAAAATATATTAAGCAATATATTTAAAGTAAATCATAGGACATTTTTCCTAGGAGGCTGAGGCTGCAGTGAGATGTTACTGTGCAGTCTGGATGACAGAGTGAAACCCTGTCTCAAAAGGAAAAAGAAAAGTTGAATATGTTTAAGTAAAAGTATATTTTACTGATTATTCCCCAGCTAGAAAACTTATCTTTGTAGTAAACATGAAATAGTTTATATAATTTATTGGAAATGCTTTAAAATTTACTTTCTAATTAAAAAAATTGTTAACCATACATATGTATTACTTGTTTAATTCAAAAAATATAAAAGGATATACAGTGGAATTTAAATCTCTACCTTCATGGCTCCATGTGCAGTGAGAAGTCGCAAACTACAATATGTTTTTACGCAAATGGGAATATTCCTTTTTTTTTTTTTAACTTAACCATGTATCTTAGAGATCATTTATATGATTTACTTTAAATATATTGTTTAATGTATTTTTGTGTTGTTCATTCCCCCATCCCCACTCTCCAGATAAGTTTCTTTAAGATGGGTTCTGAAAATCTTAATGAACAACTGGAAGAATTTTTAGCTAATATTGGAACAAGCGTACAGAAGTAAGTACTGTTTTCCTTAAAATTGAAAATGAAATGATGTGAATGATAAGTTAACAGCTAAATGACATAATGTAGAGATATTTACCATTTAATTTCCTGAGGGAATATTTTCCTTGTCATGAGAGTTTCTTATGTGATTCATGGTTACTTCTTGTTTACCTCTTTTTTTCCATAGATTGTAAACTTTGAATTTCATAGTAGTGGTAATTTTATTGTTTCTAAACTCAGTTTTATGTATAACAGACACATAATTGTAATTCTCCATAAGTGAAAATATCTTTAAACTTGAAATTGTGGGAGTTTGGTGGGAGATTACTAAATATTGTTTCCAAGCCATGAAAGCTTAGAGAGAGAAAGTAGTTCTCATCAGGTTCAAAATGTTGAGCAGTGTATGTGGTCAGTCTGTGGTATGGAGAGAGATGTAATTGATTGTTGTTTTAAAGGCACAGGACAGAGCAGTTTGAAAATTGCCAAAATCAGGCAGTCAGTAGGGAGTCATTAGTTTTTTTAATTTAATATTGTTTCCAAAATATCTTAAGATTCAAATAAAATATAAACCTGTTTTAAAATATATTTGTGTTGTTTTAACCACCCGTGCCACTCTTCTTCTCTTTAAGAAAATATGCGAAACAAATATACAGGTAAACATGATTGGTAGGTTCTTATTGGTTGTGATTTGTAGTAAACAATTCTGTCTCTGTCAGTGTTCGCAGGGAAATGGACAGTGATGTAGAGACCATGCAACAGACAATAGAGGATTTGGAAGTAGCCAGTGACCCTTTATATGTGCCTGACCCAGACCCCACCAAATTTCCTGTTAATCGAAACTTAACCCGAAAGGCTGGATACCTTAATGCTAGGAAGTAAGAAAACTATTGTTATTTTTGTATATTGTATATCATGTAAGACAATACCAAATGAATATAATAAATAATTGATGTTGTCATTGTTTTGATTTTTACTAGAGGTTGAAACTTTTTAGAGGTGTTAGTATTTATGTGAACTTTTTGACAGATGAGGTACATGAGTACTTTTCAGAAGTAAAATCCTACCTAGATATTTATTGAATAATGTAGAATGAGAAAAGAAGTGAAACCAAAGCTGGGTGTGATGGCTCACACCTGTGATCACAGGACTTTGGTAGGCCGAGGCAGTCGGATCACCTGAGGTCAGGAGTCTGAGACCAGCCAACATGGTGATACCCCACCTCTACTAAAAATACAAAAATCAGCTGAGCATGGTGGCTCACACCTGTAATCCCAGCTACTCAGGACGCTGAGGCATGAGAATCACTTGAACCCGGGAGGCAGAGGTTGCAGTGAGCCTCTGGAGGACAGAGTGAGAAAAAAAAGAAAGAAAGAAATGAAACTAATTTGAGTTTAAATAAATATTGACATATTGTATCAGAACATGAGAATGTTATTAAATATCATTGATCTTACTTTAAGATATGTGTGATTATAGCACCAAGTAAAATGTTAGTTTTCACCTGAAGATAGGATGGAGCAGGTTAACCCTGGAAATAAAATAAATTCTATTGTTTTGAATTTACTCTCCTGGAAGTTGAGCTATAACCTATATTTTATGGAGCATTATTATTACAGCTGCAATTTTATAATTTTCAGCCTTGTTTTGGAAACTGTATATACATTCACAAAAGTGAGTCAACATGGATGAATTTATCTTAGAGACTGAAAGTATATTTATATTTATTTTCTTGGCACCTTGGTGCCTTTTTGCAAGCCAGTTCTTTGTAACATGCTTTATCTTGTGTCTGGCTGATGATGAGATTTCAGGTATGTCGTTATTAAAGAGTGAATGTGTTTCTTCGTTTAGTAAAACAGGTTTGGTGTCTTCCACCTGGGACAGACAGTTTTACTTCACGCAGGGTGGAAATTTGATGAGTCAGGCCCGTGGGGATGTAGCAGGAGGCCTGGCCATGGACATAGACAACTGTTCAGTGATGGCTGTGGACTGTGAAGACAGACGATACTGTTTTCAGATCACTTCTTTTGATGGAAAAAAGTTAGTATTTTTTTCTACTACTAATAATCTATAATATTTTAAACTACTGAAATGTGGGATAATTCCTTTTTGTTTAGAAATTTTATGGACATTTTAGGTTTATTATATATTGAGATAAATTGCTTTTTAATCTTGTAGAATTATATTGAATTTTTGTTTCTGACTTGGTTATGGTTTCTTGATATTTTGAAGTTGTCAAAGCAATGTCATATAGTAAAGACCTGTGATTTCATATTAAGGAACTGCAACTGAAAATCTTGCATAGTATGGGAGAAGACAGAACAAGTTAATGGAAAGAGTCCTAAACCTGGGGTCAGAAATTTCAAAGTTTGGATTTATTACTTACTGTGTGACCTCAGACTTATCCCCTCTCAGCTCTATTTTCCTTCATGTAAAATGTGAATGGGGGAGTTGTAATCCCTACTTTGTAAATTGTTGTGAGGAACAGAAATTCTAGCATATGTAATGTGACTGACATAGTAGGTGCTAACAATAGTGTTATTTTAAAATGTTAATCAAATATTTCTGATTAGATTATTTTCCAATTAATGATATAATAATACCATTTTAAAAAATTTCCATTACCTTTTTTGTTTATTTGAGGCAGGGTCTTACTGTGTCGCTCTGGCTGGAATGCAGTGGTGTGAACATGGCTCACTGTAGCCTCAACCTCCTGGGACCAAGGGATCCTCTCACCTAAGGATCCCAAGTTGCTAGGATCACAAGTGCATGCCACCATGCCTGGCAATTAAAAAAAAATATTTTGTAGAGATGTCTCATCATGTTGCCCAGGCTGGTCTTGAACTTCCAGACTTAACTAATCTTTCTGATTTAGCCTCCCAAAGTGCTGGGGTTATAGGCGTGAGCCACCACGCCCAGCCTTCTATTACCTTTGCATTAAATGAGAATCTTTAAAGTAGCATTTAAAGGAAATTTTCAAAAAGCATGGAAAACATAAAAAGGAGTATGAAAAAATCCTACTGTCTTATTAACCAAAAGCAACAATTAACTTTTTTGTCCATTGCCTTCCAATTTTTAACCTCCGTACATTTTAAAAATAGTTGAAATATTATAATTTGGATCTGCAGCCACCTATTAAAAACATGTTATAATGGCTATACTATAACTTATTTAAGGACATACATTATAATTTAAACATTTTCCTAATGATAGATGTTTAGACTATCTGCCATTTCCCCCTCCCCACTCAATTAAAATACTGTTTTTGACCTTTGAACTTTCTTAAGTTAATGTTCAGGAGCAGCCTCTGGGTTCCCGGAAAGTCATTTTTCCCCTGTATTTATGCACATTAAGATATTATGAAAATAAATATATTTGAGCTTTCCCTCTTAAAAAAAAAATAGGTTAGTATCCTTTATCAAAATGGTTAATTTCACATTTCTTCTACAAACATAATGAATGCCAATATTGTGTGCATTTATCACACTAGATGTTGGGTGTTGGGAATCACTGTATTTATTTATCAAAATTACCGACTTGTTAACATGTTACTTTAAGTGCTTACTTTTTGTTTAATGCTTACCATGATTTCCCATTTCACATTCCTGTTGTGATGCAAAATTAGTAAAAATTATTTTCTCTAACTCTTATATCTATAGAAAAGCAAAATAATATGTTTAATGATTGATATATCAAAGTATTTGATTTAATGTTAAAGGAGAATTAATGAAGTAAAGTTTTTTCTATTAGGATCATTGAGGTGTATTTGAAATATATTTGATAAGTTCATAATATATATGAAATATATATGATGTGTTGGAATGCATTATCTTCACTGAAATGTAATTTAGTCATGATCTATCTTCTGAGGATCAGCACCTGTTTCCTTTTTGGTACATCTTGGCACAGATAGCCAGAGTCAGAGTTGTTAAAGTCTGTGTCCTGTTACCTCTGGTAGTCTCCATTTCCTAAGATACTGTTGGTTGTGTTTTTTTTTTTTTCTTTTAATATCGATTGGTGTTTATATATTCCTTTACCTTTAAAGATAAAAAATTCTCTCAGATTATGTTGAAAGTATTTTTTTAAACAGTTGAGACTCAAACATCTCTTCTCTTCCAGATCTTCAATTTTGCAAGCAGAGAGTAAAAAAGATCATGAAGAGGTAAAATTTTACCTAGTTCATTTCTTCAGTGACATTTATTCACTGACTAAATGTCATATTCAGTGATATTTATTTATTATTAAAATAAATAATTTAAAATATTTTTCTGATGACAAAATATATATTAATGTGTTCATTATAGAATCCTAGTTTATTACAAATTTTTCTTTCTTTTTTTTTTTGTAAAAGTCTATTGTCCTCAAGTAACATTCTTAAGTCTCTTACAGAATTTTATAGTGGGAGGGACCTTAGAGATCATCTCTGCTATTTTAAAAGCTCAGATTCAGAAATGACCTTGTGACTGTTGCTGTCTGGCAGGCTGTTAGTATCATGAGGTAACAGTTTATTCCCTTCTCTCACCAATCCTTTGAGACACTATTTGCTGCACTAAGAACATAGTGGCAGCAGATGTGACACGTCAGGAAGCAACTAAAGCTGAAAACCTTGGGGAAATGAAAGATAGAAAAACAAAAATTTGGGAGTCTCTGTTCTTCCTCATGAGCCTTTTATTTTTGGCTCCATTTTTACTCCTACTATATCAGATATGGAAGGTAAAGTCTTAGCAAGAATTGATGCTTCAAACCTTTATCTTGAGAAACATTCTTCCATGAAAATATACCCTAGCTTGATTTTTAGCCTTTTTATTTGGCATTATAATTGTGTTGGTAAGAGACAAAAAGTTGGAAATGCTATAGTGATCTACCTTTATTTACTTCTTATGGAAAAGAGTTAATATTAAATCTTGCTTTTGGTCTCTGAGGAACACAGACAAATGTCTGTTCTCTGCATAGTTTTCCAAACAGTATTTGTTTTGTTTAGTGAGGCTTAACACACACTCAAATCCTCGAGAGTTAAGCAGAAGATTTACAGCAGAGATTGTTTTCTATGCTAATAATTTATAAACTTGACAGAAGGGAGGCATGTAAAATATATTCACCAAGAATATATTTATCTTTTAAATTTTTTGCATTTGTGTTAATTATGATACCTGAGTTCACACTGTCTTGTTTGGTGAGGCTTAGGAGGGGAAGTGATAAAAAGAAAAATTTAGATTATTAAGTATAGTTTAACATAATTGCTGTTTTATTTCCTTATATGAATTAAACTTGAGCTTCTTACATAAATATACTAAATGTTTTCATAAATAATAAAAATGTTGAATATTCTTTTATACATATTTTTATATATGTACCTTACTTACGAAATGTTTTCTTATAAGGAAGATAAATGTATTACTTCCAATGAAACATCTGCTGCAATTTAGTATTGAACATTTGCCTTTATAAGATAAGCTTTATAGAAAAAATTATTATTAATTATATTTTTCTATTTTTTCATCTTGTAGTGGATCTGTACAATAAACAACATATCTAAACAAATATACTTAAGTGAAAATCCAGAGGTAATATTTTTATTTTATGTTACCCAGATCTAGCAAAATTGAGTAATTTTGTGGCTTACATGTTTTTATTCATAATTTCTCAAGTTCTGTAATTTTTTAATTTGGCCTTGAATGAGTAGTCTTTTTTTTTTTGAAATGGAGTCTTGCTCTGTTGCCCAGATCTGAGTGCAGTGGTCCGATCTCTGTTCACTAAAACCTCCACCTCCCAGGTTCAATTGATTCTCCTGCCTCAGCCTCCCGAGTAGCTGAGATTACGTGCCACCACACCTGGCTAATTTTCGTATTTTTAATAGAGACTGGTTTGTCCATGTTGGTCAGGCTGGTCTTGAACTCCTGTCTGCGGGTGGTCTGTCCACCTTGGCCTCCCAAAGTGCTGGGATTACAGGTGTGAGCCACTACATCTGAATTGAAGGAATAGCTTTAATGTGCTATGTAATGAGTAGTCTTCCTAGAACAATAAATTATTTCAAAAGGTACTCAACTCAGTCGGTCAACAAATATTTATTGGGTGTTGACTGTTTTACTCGTGTTAAGCACCATGAAGAAAGGAAATAGAGAAGAAAATTGAGCCATGCCCTCCAGGAGCCTCTCTGTATGGAGAGACAAAACTAAAACTTTAAGTAACATTTTAGATAAAACAGGATGTAATTGAAAGCATATGGTGATGACTAAGTTTTAACATCAGTGTGGACTTTAGAGAAAGCTCTGTGGAGATGGTGGAAACCTGAGTTGAGTAGCATTTGTTTGTGTTTTGAGGAAAAGAAGAGAGTACAGATAAGAGAAAAAAACCAAAAGCACAAATGCAGATGTAGAAATGGCAAGTTTATGAAACTAGTAATGTAATTAAATATTCTTTTTTTTTTTTTGAGACAGAGTCTTGCTGTGTCACCCAGGCTGAAGTGCAGTGGTGCAATCTCAGCTCACTGCAGCCTCCGCCTCCCAGGTTCAAGTGATTCTCCTGCCTCAGCCTTCTGAGTAGCTGGGACTACAGGCCTGTGCCACCACGCCTGGCCAATTTTTGTATTTTTAATAGAAACAGAGTTTTGCCATGTTGGCCAGGCTGGTCTCGAACTTCCAACCTCAGGTGATCCACCTGCCTTGGCCTCCCAAAGTGCTGGGATTATAGGCATAAACCACCACAACCCAATCAAGTTAAAGGTTCTTGATAGAGAATACAAAATTGAAATATGCATACAAATCACCTAGCAGTCTTGTTAAAATGCCTAATATGATTCACTATGTCTAGGGTGATACAACTTGAATGCCCAGTTTTGCAAATTATACTTTGAGTAGCAAGGATATCAGAACAGACAAACCCTGACATGTAGACATAGCCATATGTGCAGTCCAAACATACAGATAGAACCCTGGGGTACAGAGTTAGGTGGGTCCTTCAGTATTGTTGGAAAAAGACTTGACTCTAGGACAGGAGCTGTCTGACCTCTGCCACTCTTGGTGGGCCTGTCTGTGCTATGACAATCCAGGCAACTCCCATGGCTTGGCACCGGCTCATGATTTCAGCTGAGGCTGGGAAAGATAATTTCTTTGGGAGGCTCTCACTCTTCTAAATCTTAATCTGCTACTGATGTAATGGTTGTTTAGATGGGAGAGCTAGACTAGACTAGTTTAGTAACTAATTGATGTGAAGGATGAAGGAGATGAATAAGATAAAGATGACTTCCAGGTTTTAAACCCAAGGGAAGAGAAGAATTTGGGAAAGAAGAGTTCTGTTTTTATCTTAATGGCTTTGAGGTGCCAGCTAAGAAATGCCTAGGAGGAAGTTTTGAACCATAGAAACAAAATCTCATGACCTCCAACATATTAGTAATTTGTTAGTTTTATAATAATGTTATTATATTTATACTGTAACATATAATGTATTATAATTACGTATAATACAATCAATTATGAGTTTAATTATGGAAAATCAGTGGTAACTGTAGAGAAGTCTTTTGCTTTTAGTAATTTGATCTCCCACCAATCTAGCTTTTCCTTTTTGTAAGGTTACTTGGGAACAACAAAAAATACAATTAAAATACAAATTAAATGATTTATTTTATCATCTAGGGAATACAGTGTTTGAATTTGAATAGTTTGTAATACTTACAGTCTTTTCTTACTAATTATCAGAACTCTAATTTTTAATTAATATTTCCTAGGTTATCCAGAATTATTTTATCTGTATTAGAATAGAAATTTTGATCAGTTTATGGCATTGTATTGGTGATTTTGCTGACTATGAGACAAGAAATGCAAACCCGTTTTGTAATTATTTTTTCTAATTTAAAGACCATTTTTATGGAGTATATCCTGCAGTACCAACTTCTCAGGAGCCTGTGAGGGGAGGATTGCTTGAGCATAGGAGATCGAGGCTGCAGTGAGCCATAATCATGCCATTGCACTCCAGTGTAGGCAACAGAGAACCTATCTCCCAAAAACAGACCATTTAAAAAATTGTGATAAAATCCACAAATTTACCATGTTAACCATTTTTAAGTATACAAGAAGAGTAATGTTAACTATACATTATTAAAACAGATTTTTAATTTAAATATAATTTTTATTTAGTCTGTTTTAAATAAAACAGTAAGTCTAAAGTATTTCTATGGAAAGCTTTCTTATTTTCAATTTTTTGGTCTGAAAATATGACAGCTTTATAAATTAATAAACAGATATTTCTGAGCATAAATATATTCTGGAAAATCATGAAAACTTCCAGCATAGTTATAAAATACTCATATTTTATGAGTATTTCCTACTCCTGAATTTCTTTATTCAACAAATATATCAATTGTCCATTGTATCAGGCACTGGGCTGGGTGCTAGCAATACAAACTTTAATCAAAAATAATCTAGTAGTTAAAAATTTAAAGAAAAAAACCAGTATTTTCTTTAAAAATTTAAAGTATGCAACATTTGCAGGGAATTTAGAAAAATTAAAGAAAAGCAATATATAATAATTGTGTATAGGTAGAAAATCAGAAATTTTATTTATAGATTATAGGAAATAAATCAACATATGTACCCTAATATTAAGAAAATATGGAACTACTTTAGTAGCTCTATTTATATTTTAAGTGTAACTCAGAAGCATTCTAACAATTCAAAGTTACATTCAAACTTCTGGTTTGCTTACTTTACTAATATTAGTCCTTTAAAAAAAAATTAAAATAGGAAACGGCTGCACGAGTAAATCAGTCAGCTCTCGAAGCTGTCACTCCTTCCCCATCTTTCCAGCAGAGGCACGAGAGCCTGCGGCCAGCAGGAGGGTAAGTTACCACACTGAGTTATTTAAAAAACGATATGGGCTATTTAAAGTATCTGTGATACGGGATTATGTTTCAAGATTTCTCATTGATTTACAATATTGGGTTTTCTTTTTTCATAGTGTGTTAATATTTAATATCCAAAAGAGAAAATTAAATGTAATGCCTTCTTGTTTTGTGTTTAGACAGTCTCGGCCACTGACAGCTCGAACCAGCAGTTCAGGATCCCTAGGATCTGAGTCTACAAATTTGGCTGCTCTTTCTCTAGATTCCCTTGTTGCCCCAGATACCCCAATACAGTTTGACATAATTTCTCCAGTGTGTGAAGATCAGCCTGGCCAAGCAAAAGCCTCTGGCCAGGGAGGCAGGTGGGTGATAGCATCACAGGTACTTCGTGCTGTGGTCTGTAAGGGTTATAATCCCCTGTCTATGTTTGAGAGTCTTCTCTTATTTATCATGTATCTCAGCTATGTTGTAGTTTCTTTGTAACATATTGATAGTTAGGGAAGAATCATGCAGGCTTTTCTTTATGTCTTCTGCCTCAGTTAAGGAGTTAAGATAACTTAGTTTCAAAATATTTAATTCTGAATTGCTCATTAGGTCTACTTCTTAGATGTTTGCTTTTAAAATTGCAGAAGAAAGTTGATAGCCCTGTTTTCAGGTCATGACATTTTTAAAAAAATTCTTGAAGGTAATACATGTGATATATGTTTATTAGAAAATATTACCTTTTTTTTTTTTTTTTTTTTGAGACGGAGTTTCGCTGTTGTTGCCCAGACTGGAGTGCAATGGCACGATCTTGGCTCACCGCAACCTCCGCCTTCTGGGTTCAAGCAATTCTCCTGCCTCACCCTCCCGAGTAGCTGGGATTACAGGCACGCGCCACCATGCCCAGCTAATTTTTGTATTTTTAGTAGAGATGGGGTTTCACCTCATTGACCAGGATGGTCTCGATCTCTTGACCTCGTGATCCACCTGCCTCAGCCTCCCAAAGTGCTGGGATTACAGGTGTGAGCCACCGTACCCGGCCAGAAAATATTATCTTATGCCAGAATAAGAAATCTTCAGGAAATTACTAAAACATTATCACTGTTTTTAATTATTAATGAGCCATCTTTTGTTATATAATGAATATAAAGCAGTTAAAATTTTCCTTAGCTATAGATGAAGGAAACATGACTTAAGGCAATTTGTTTATTAAGTAGAGTGGACACCTAATAAATTGATAATACATTAATTTGGATAAAATGGCTATGACCCAAAAAAAGTAATTTACATTTGATTATGGAAATACACTTAGCATTTGATGTAATAGGTCAGATACGTACTAAAGAGATTAATTTCCTGTTGTCTTTTTTTTTTTTTTTGGGACAGAGTCTTGCATTATTGCCCTGGCTGGAGTGCAATGCATGTTTTGGCTTACTGAAGCCTCCACCTCCTGGGTTCAAGCGATTCTCCTGCCTCAGCCTCCTGAGTTGCTGGGATTACAGGCGCCTGCCACCACGCCTGGCTAATTTTTTGTATTTTTAGTAGAGACAGGGTTTCACCATATTGGCCAGGCTGGTCTCTAACTTTTGACCTCGTGATCTGCCCACCTTGGCTTCCCAAAGTGCTGGAATTATAGGCTTGAGCCATTGTACCTGGCCTAATTTCCTGTTATCTTAATGTCAGTGTTTTTTGTTTTTGTTTTAGAACCACTTAGCTCTCTGTTTGCTTCCAAAACCTGCTTTTTTTGTTTTGAGACAGGATCTCACTCTGTTGCTCAGGCTGTAGTGCAGTGGCATGATCATAGCTCACTGCGGCTTTGACCTCCTGGGTTCAAGGGATACTCCTGGCTCACCCTCCTGCAGAGCCAGGACCACAGGAATGTACCACCATGCCCAGCTAATTTTTAAAATTTTTTGGTAGAGACGGGGTCTTTCTGTGTTGCCCAAGCAGATCTCAAACTCTTGGGCTCAAATAGTCCTCATGCCTTGGCCTCCAAAAGTGCTGAGATTACAGGTGTGAGCCACAACACGCAGCCCTTCAAAAACTACTTTGAATTGTACTTTTCTTCCTTCACTGTGGTGTGCCACAAGCCACGCACACTAAGGAGAAAAGTAGCTTCCATCTCCAGTTCACTTTTCTTTTTGCATTGTTACTTATGTGTAGGGCACGTTGGGAGCCAGATGTAGGGCTGATGGCCCCACAGGGTCGTGGGGTGAGCCTTATGCTGTGCTGAGGCGCAGGATCTGAGAAATAAAGAGACAGGATATAGAAGTACAAGAAAAACGCAGCTGGGCTCGGGGGGCCACACCACCTATAAGCAGAGTCAGGCGAGGCCCTGAATGTCCAGAAGCATGAGTATTTATTGTGTATAGGTTAGGGGGCAAGGCAGTGAGTGAAGTCATCTTTAAGGACAGTGATAGGGTCGTGAGCAATAAAACATGGGGTCCACCCCCCATCAGGTCACCTAGGCCAGGAGGTGGACAGTGCACAGCAAGGGGCCTGTTCCCACGAAGGCAAGGACCGTGCGCAGTAAGGGGTCCACCCCGATTAGGTCACTGAAGTTTGAAGGTGGGCCGTGCGCAGTGTGCAATACTTCTATCTATGGTCAAACTACTTCAAAGAAGATTTATAGGAGGATGCTTTAAGTCACGTAGCAGTGACAGAGCTGTCAGGTTTACTGCCACCTTCTGGCAGCTTCCAGTGGGTTCTATGGGAAGATGCTTTTCAAGCAGCACAGTAGCAAGAGCTGATAAAGTTCACAGTCACCAAGGTGGATTGCTGTTCTGAGGGCAGCCTTCCACAAGAACTGGAGTAAGGTCCTACAACTCCTTTATCAGAAGTGGCTCTTGCCCCAAGCCTGCCATACAGCGGGTATCTTTACGATACTGAACACTGCCCCCTGGGCCATGGATTCTTGTCCTGGCATAACTGTTTTTCCCTTAAATCATGCTCTGCACTGTGTCTGCTCTTAGGCATTCCTCTGATTATAAGCTGCTTATTCCTTAATTCATGCTCTGTATTGTGTCCACTCTAGGCATTCCTCCAATATAAACTAAGATATAATTATAGGTATATATGTAGGGAAATATTCTTTAGGCACTCATACTATTAACTATTATATGATTATATATAGAGGATTATATAAAGGGATTCATCAAGCCCTAATTCTATAAACTAATATATGATTATATAAAGGATTATATAAAAGGAAATAGCTGAGTAGTAACACTATAAAGTGAGATATTCCTCAAGCCCTAACTGTGCCAGGGTTCTGCTTAGCTCTCATTCCTCGGTGTCTGTATGGGGGGTTACCCACACTTATGCTTTAAGAAATACAAATTTAAAGCTAGATTATAGTTAACTTGCAATGTGTAGAGAACGTAAAAAGAAGTTTTTACAATTCCAGGATATTCCTGGAGTTCTCTAGCAAAGATTGCAACTAAAGTGTTCTTCTGTGCTAGCTTATTTAAATTCAAGTACTTTTGCAACATGGTTTATTATTGTGCTGATTTTTTTGTCGTATACGGCTAAACTCCTGATTCATCTGTGTCTTCTAAAATGCATCAACATTGATCAGTTAGTGTGTGAGGGCAGAGGCTTTCATCATAGTCATTTAGTGATCAATAGTGTTTCTTAGCAGGATGGGACATTTTAGAGCATTCTTTTTAAAATGTTAACTCTGGTTTTAAAATGATTAGATTTCTTCTATGTGATTCATGGTAACTGACCATATTTTCTTCTAAACGCTTCAGGCGTACAAATCCATTTGGAGAATCTGGAGGAAGTACAAAATCTGAAACTGAAGGTAAAACAGATGTGCAGCATTCATCTATTTTAGAACTGCTTCTCAGCAAACCGTGAAAAATTTGTCATTTATATTTGCTCTGCTACCATGCTCAGTTTTAATGTTGTCTTTACTTCAGAATTTCCTCTACTTATTCATAGTACTCTTGAAGCAACAGAACTTAATCTAATTTAGGATGTTGTGATTCACACAAAATGATAGACTCTCATACTTTTGACCTTGTAGTCAAATAAACAGTGCCTAAGATACCTTTCAGGCTTTTCCTAGTAGTTGATGTTTCACTTCTGGTACTAGAGCATAAATTTTGTTTTGTTTTTTTTTTTCCCCCACTAACTATTTATTTTAATTCTTTTTTTTTTTTTTTTTTAGATGGTGTCTCACTCTGTTGCCAGGCTGGAGTATAGTGTTGCAATCTCGGCTCACTGCAGGCTCCGCCTCCCAGGTTTAAGCTATTCTCCTGCCTCAGCCTCCCAAGTAGCTGGGACTACAGGCACATGCCACCATGCCTGGCTAATTTTTATATTTTTAGTAGAGATGGGGTTTCATCATGGTGGCCAGGATTGTCTCAATCTCTTAACCTTGTGATCTGCCTGCTTCAGCCCCCAAAATGCTGGGATTACAGGCATGAGCCACCATGCTTGACCTATTTATTTTAATTCTAAACTTACAGACAATCTGTAAGAACCATCAGTTGTTGATTTTTTTTTTTTATTTTTTGTTTTTTCTTTTTTTAGAGACAGGGTCTCCCTTTGTTGCCCAGGCTGATCTTGAATTCATGGGCTCAAGGGATCCTCCTGCCTTAGCCTCTCAAAGTGCTATAATTACAGGCATGAACCACCATGCCTGGCCTGAGAACCACCAGTTGTTGAAGCATTACTTTTAGCTATTTGAATTTGAAACCCTAATTTTCCTAAAACTTAGAATACTATAGTTAGGAGTTATTTTGAAATGTCTCCCTTAGGTTGTTGAATTTTTCACTAGAAAATCTAAAAGGAAGCAGTGTATTTTATTCTTTTGGAAAAGAAATATGGTGTTTAAAAATATGTAATCACCTTGTTCTGTTATAGATTCTATTCTTCACCAGTTATTTATTGTTCGATTCCTTGGTTCAATGGAGGTGAAATCAGATGACCATCCGGATGTTGTTTATGAAACCATGCGCCAAATCTTAGCTGCCCGAGCCATCCATAACATCTTTCGTATGACAGAATCACATTTATTAGTCACTTGTGACTGTTTAAAGTAAGTAAAACCCTCCCTTAAAAAACTGTAGAAAAAACATTTACATAATTTCAGCCTAATTAAAATGTTTTCCAATTTTAAAATTACTATTTTAGGTTAATTGATCCACAGACACAAGTTACAAGGCTTACGGTGAGTTTCACATGATTTAAGCTTTGTTTTAGGTCCCATTGTGTATATACACACATCTTACAACTTGGTAATAATCCTGATCCTGTATATTCAAGTGTGATACTATCAGCTCTGATTGGTCTTTGGCTGTTGTAGTTAAGTCTATGGCCATCTCCAAAAAGTTGTCATTGAATATTTTATGTAACTTAAAAGAATTAACACAATTTGGTGTGATACTTAGTGTTTATCCCTTAGTTAGGAAGCATATATCATACATCAAATAAATTAACAGTAGGAATGAGAAAGTGAACATAAGTGAGTTTATTTCATAGTTATTTATGTTCTATTTAATAATTTCTATTTGTCATTTCTATTTAATAAATGATTAAATAGAAACATAGTTATAAATATTAAATAAATGATTAAATAGAAACACATTGTTATTTAACATATAAATATGTGTTTCTATTTAATAAATGATTAAATGTTAAATAACTATGTGTTTCTATTTAATCATTTATTAAAAAGACCACTTTTTAAATTCAGTCTATGTAAAATGTGTTAATGACTAATAAATATTCAACAGCCTCTTGTTCTGCTTGGTAATTCAAACCAAATATGACATTACTTGTTTCTGCATTACAAGTCTGTTAAAATAATTGTCTTTAAATTAAAATATTTATGATATTTTTAGAACTTAGCATATGAGTTTGTCATGAGTGCTGCTGTAATGATTTGCAAGATCTCATGTTTGCTTCTGATGTTTTCTGTGGCAGTTTCCATTGCCTTGTGTAGTTTTGTATGCTACACACCAGGAAAATAAGCGCCTTTTTGGGTTTGTTCTTCGGACATCAGGCGGGAGAAGTGAAAGTAATCTGTCATCAGTCTGCTATATATTCGAGTCAAACAATGAGGGGGAAAAGGTACATAGCTTTCCAGAATATCTCTGCCGTAACCACTTACCAAATGATTCTAAGATTTAATAATTATTAAATTCTTATTAAATTAGTAATTACTGATTGAATTATTTACAATTTATACAAATATATGAAGTACACATGAATTTTGTTACATGTATGTAATGTGTAGTAAGCAAGTTTGGGTATTTAGGGTGTCCATCACCCAAGTACAATACATTTTTGTTAAGTATAGTCACCCTACTCTGCTGTCAGATATTAAATATATTCCTTTTATCATAATTTGTGGTTGTACCCTTTAACTCACCTCTCTTCATCCTCCCCTTTCCCTATCACTCAGCCTTCCCAGTCTCTGTTATCTACCATTCCACTCTCTGCTTCCACGTGATCAAATTTTAGCTCCCACATGCAAGTGAGAACATGTGATACTTGTCTTTTTGTTCCTGGCTTATTTCACGTAAGATAATGACCTCTAGTTCCATCCATGTTGCTGCAAATGACATGATTTTGTTCTTGTTTATGGTTGAATAGTACTCCATTGTGTACATGTACCACATTTTCTTTATTCATTTATCTGTGAATGAATATTTGGATTGATTTCATAGCTTTGCTATTTTGAATAGCAAATAGTAAACATGTGAGTGCAGGTATCCTTTTAATGTAGATTTCTTTAATTTTGGGTGGATACCCAGTAGTGGGATTGTTGGATTGAATGTGAGTTCTATTTTTAGTTTTTGAAAGATCTCCATGCTGTTTTCCATAGTGGTTGTACTGGTTTATGTTCCTACCAAAAGTGTATGAGTTCCCCTTTTTTCTGCATTTCACCAACATCTGTTATTTTTTGTCTTTTTAATGATAGGGTAAGAATAGCTCATTGTCATTTTGATTTGCATTTCTCTAATGATTAGTGATGTTGAGCATTTTTTTTCATATACCTGGTGGCTGTTTTTATGTCCTTTAAAAAGTGTGTATTATCCTCTGCATACTTTTAAATGGGTTTGTTTTTTTCCCTGTTGAGTTGCTTCTATGTTCTGGGTATTAGTCCCCAGTTGGATGAATAGTTTCCAAATACGTTTTCTCATTCAACTGGTTATCTGTTTACTCTTACTTTAGGTATGCAGATACTTTTTAGTTTAATTAAGCCCTATTTGTCTATTTTTGTTGCCTATGCTTTCGAGATCTTAGGCAGAAAATCTTTGCTTAAACCAATGTGCAAGAGAGTGTTCCCTAGGTTTTCCTCTAGTACTTTTTTTTCCCCTATGGAAAATAACTTTTTTTTTGGAGACGAATTCTCGCTCTGTTGCCCAGGCTGGAGCGCAGTGACACAATCTTTGCTCACCGCAACCTCTGCCTCCTGGATTAAAGTGATTCTCCTGCCTTAGCCTCTTAAGTATCTGGGACTACAAGCATCTGCCATCATACCTGGCTAATTATTCTATTTTTAGTACAGACAGGGTTTTACCATGTTGGCCAGGCTCGTCTTGAACTCCTGACCTCAAGTGATCCACCTGCCTCAGCCTTCCAAAGTGCTGGGATTACAGTCGTGAGCTGCCACGCCCAGCTGGAAAAAAATCTTTAATGGAACAATTATTGAGAATATCATAGTAACGAAGTTTCTCAAGAGACTGATTAGAGCTAAAATGGTGAAAGTAGGATTAACTTTTTTAATTTTTGTGGGTACACAGTAGGTACCCACAGTACATGCAGTACATGAAATATTTTGGTACAGGCAAGCAATGCATAATAATCACATCATGGAAAATTGAGTATTCATTCCCTTAAGCATTTATCCTTGTATGAGAAACAATCCAATTATATTCTTTTTAGTTATTTTTAAATGTATAATTATTATTGACCATAGTCCCCCTGTCCTATCAAATACTAGGTTTTATTCATCCTCTTTCTTTTTTTCATACTTGTTAACCATCCTTCTAGCACCCATCCCTACACTACCTTTCTCAGCCTCTGGTCACCATCCTTCTCCTCTCTGTCTCCATGAGTTCAATTGCTTTGATTTTTAGATCCCACAAATAAGTGAGAACCTGAAATACTTGTCTTTCTGTGCCTGGCTTATTTTGCCTAACATAATACCTCCATTTTCCATCTATGTTGTTGCAAATGACAGAATCTCATTCTTTTTTATGGCTGAATAGTACTCCATTGTATATAAGTATCACATTTTCTTTATCCACATACCATTCATTCAAATTACAGAATCTCATTCTTTTTTATGGCTGAATAGTACTCCATTGTGCATGTGTGTATTTTCTTTATCCATTCATCTGTTGATGGACACTTAGGTTGCTTCCAAATTGTGGCTATTATGAACAGAGCTGCAACAAACATGGGAGTCCAGATATCTCTTCAATCTATTGTTGATTTCCTTTTTTTTTTTTTTTTTTTTTTTTTGAGATGAAGTCTTGCTCTGTTGCCAGGCTGGAGTGCAGTGGCGCAGCCTCGGCTCACTGCAACCTCCATCTCCTAGGTTCAAGCAATTTTCCTACCTCAGCCTTCCAAGTAGCTGGGACTGCAGGTGTGCACCACCATGCCCCACTAATTTTTGTATTTTTAGTAGAGACAGGGTTTCACTATGTTGGCCAGAATGGTCTGGATCCCTTGACCTTGTGATCTACCCGCCTCAGCCTTCCAAAGTGCTGGGATTACAGGCTTGAGCCACTGCGCTTGCCCGATATCCTTTTTTTAAGTATATACCCAGCAGTGAGATAGCTGGATCATATGAAAGCTCCATTTTTAGTTTTTTGAGGAACCTCCAGACTTTTCTCCATTAGTGGTTATACTAATTTACATTCCCACCAACAGTGTACAAGAATTCCCTTTTCGTGGGGCGCAGTGGCTCACGCCTGTAATCCCAGCACTTTGGGAGGCCGAGGCGGGTGGATCACGAGGTCAAGAGATCGAGACCATCCTGGTCAACATGGTGAAACCCCGTCTCTTCTAAAAATACAAAAAAATAGCTGGGCATGGTGGCACGTGCCTGTAATCCCAGCTACTCAGGAGGCTGAGGCAGGAGAATTGCCTGAACCCAGGAGGCAGAGGTTGCAGTGAGCCGAGATCACGCCATTGCACTGCAGCCTGGGTAACAAGAGCGAAACTCCATCTCAAAAAAAAAAGAAAAGAATTCCCTTTTCTCCACATACTTCCCAGCATTTGTTATTGCTTGTTTTTTTTTGCTATAAGCCATTTTAACTGAAGTGAGATAATACATTGTAGTTTTGATTTGCATTTCTCTGATGATCAGTGATGTTGAGGACCTTTTCATGTTTGTTTGCTATTTGTATGTCTTTTTTTGAAAATGTTTATTCAAATCTTTTGCTCAATTTAAAATCAGATTATTAAGTTTTTTCTTATAGAGTTGTTTGAGCTCCTTGTAAATTCTGGTTATTAATCACCTGTTAGATCGGTAGTTTGCAAGTATTTTCTCCCACTCTGGGTTGTCTCTTCACTTTGTTGTTTCTTTTGCTGTGCAGAGCTTTTTAACTTAATGCGATCCTATTTGTTCATTTTTGTTTTAGTTACCTGTGTTTGTGGGTATTACTCAAGAAATTTTAGCCCAGACTAATGTTCTGGAGAGTTTCCCCAATATTTTCTTGTAGTAGTTTCATAGTTTGAGGTCTTGGATTTAAGTCTTTAATCCATTTTGATTTGATTTTTGTATATGGTAAGAAAGAGGGCTCTAGTTTTATTCCTCTGCATGTAGATACCCAGTTTTCCTGGATTCATTTATTGAAGGGACTGTCTTTTCCCCAATTATATTCTTGGCACCTTTGTCAAAAATGAGTTCACTGTAGTAGTGTGGATTTGTTTCTGGGTTCCCTATTCTGTTGCATTGGTCTATGTGCCTTTTTTTTTCTTTTTTTGCAAACACCATGTCATTTTGGTTTCTATAGCTCTATAGTATTGTAATTTGAAGTTAGGTAATATGATTTATCTAGTTTTGTTCTTTTTGCTCAGAATAGCTTTGGCTATTCTGGATCTTTTATGATTCCATATAAGTTTTCAGAATGTTTTTCTATTTCTGTGAAGAATGTCATTGGTTTTTCGATAGGGATTGCATTGAATCTATAGATTGCTTTGGGTAGTATGGACATTTTAACAATATTGGTTCTTCTAATCCATGAATATGAAATATGTTTCTATTTTGGGTGTCCTCTTCAATTTCTTTCATCAGTGTTTTATAGGGTTTTTTTTTTTTTTTTTGAGACAGAGTCTCACTCTATTGCCTAGGCTGGAGTACAGTGGCATGATCTCGGCTTACTGCAACAATTGCCTTGCAGGTTCAAGATATTCTTATGCCTCAGCCTCCCAGGTAGCTGGGATTGCAGGTGTGTGCCACCATGCCTGGCTAATTTTTGTATTTTTAGTAGAGATGGGGTTTCACTATGTTGACCAGGCTGATCTCAAACTCCTGGCCTCAAGTGATCCACCTACCTTGGCCTCCCAGAGTGCTGGGATTACAGGCCTGAGTCACTGCACCTGGCCTATAGTTTTCATTATAGACATCTTTCACTTTGGTTAATTCCTAGGTATTTAATTTTATCTGCATCTATTGTAAGTGGGATTACTTTTTGTTATTTCTTTTTCAGATTGTTTACTGTTGGCATATAGAAATGCTACTGATTGTTGTATGTTGATTTTGTATCCTGAAACTACTTAATTCATCCATTCTGATAGTTTTTTGGTGAAGTCTTTAGGTTTTCCCAAATATAAGATCATCATATCATCTGCAAACAAGGATAGTTTGACTTTTTTCTTTCCAGTTTGGATGCCATTTCTTTCTCTTGTCTGATTGCCATAGGTAGGACTTTTAGTACGGTGTTTAATATTAATAAGAGTGGTGAAAGTGAGCATTTTTGTCGTGTTCCAGATTTAAGATGGATAGCCTTTTGGTACTAGGTGTGGGTCTGTCATATATAGCTTTTATTATATTGAGCTATGTTCCTTCTATACCAAGTTTTTTTGAAGGTTTTTTTTTTATCCTGAAGGGATGTTAAACTATCAAATGCACTTTCAGCAGCAATTGAAGTGATCAAATAGTTTCTGTCCTTTATTCTGTTGATATAATTTGGCATATTGATTGATTTGCATATGTTGAACTATCTTTGCATCCCTGGGATAAATCCCACTTGGTCATGATAAACGATCTTTTTAATATGCTGTTGAATTCGGTTTGCTAGTATTTTGTTGAGAATTTTTGCATTAATATTCATTAGATATATTGGGCTGTAGTTTTTTTGATATGTCTTTTTCTGGTGTGGTATCAGGTAACACTGGTCTTACAGAATGAATTTGGAAGTATTCTACTCTATTTTTTGGGAACATATTAGGTCTTTTTTAAATGTTTGGTAGAATTCAGCAGTAAAGCCATTGGGTCCTGGGCTCTACCAGGAGCCTTTTTATTATGGTTTGGATCTTGTTACTTGTTATTAGACTGTTCAGGTTTTGGATTTCTTTGTGGTTCAGTCTTGGTAGGTTGTATTTGTCTAGGAATTTATCCATTTCTTCTAGATTTTCCAATTTAATAGCATATAGTTCTCATTATAGCTACCAATGATCCTTTGAATTTGTGCAGTATCAATTTTAATGTCTACTTTTTCGTCTCTGATTTTATTTACGTGAGCCTTGTTTTTCTTAGTCTGGCTAAATGTCAGTTTTGTTTATCTTTTCAAAAAACCAATTTTTTGTTTTGTTGATTTTTTTTTTTTTGATATTCTTTTCTTCTTTTTCTTCTTTTTTTTAAAATTTTTTATGCATTTTAGGTTTTGGGGTACATGTGCAGAACATGCAAGACAGTTGCATAGGTACACACATAGCAGTGTGTTTTGCTTCCTTTCTCCCCATGTTGATCTTTTTATTGTTTTCTTTATGTCAGATTCATTTATTTCTGCTCTGATCCTTATGATTTCTTCTAGTATTTTAATAGTATTGGGTCTTATGTTTAAGTCTTTAATGTATAAGTTGATTTTTGTATATGGTGAACGAGAGGGGTCTGTTTTCATTCTTGTACATGTGGCTCTCCAATCTTGCAGAACCATTTATTGAAGAGGATATCCCTTCCCCAGTGAAAGTTCTTTGTCAGCTTTGTTTGAAGATCAGTTGGCTGTAAACATGTGGCTTCATTCCTGAGTTCTCTATTCTGTTCCATTGGTCATGTTTCTTATTTTTGTAACAATCCCCTGCTGTTCTGCTTACCATACTCTTGTAATATATTTTGAAGTCAGGTAATGTGATGCCTCCAGCTTTGTTCTTTTTGCTTAAGGTTGCTTTGGCTATTTGCATTGAACCTACAGATTGCTTTGGGCAATATGGTTATTTTAACGATGTTATTCTGATCCATGAGCATGGGATTTTTTTGTGTGTCTTCAATTTCTTTCATCAGTGTTTTGTAGTTTTTCTTGTCAATAAAATTCTTATATAATTTTTAAGATTTTTGGAAAAACTCCTAAATTCGCCTAGGCTGGCTGAGCTGTTTGACCAAAGCATGTTCCTCTGAAGAGAGCCAAGCTGATGGGTTGGGCCTTCTGACTCTACAGACCCGTCTTTCCTGCCACTGATAGCTGGTGCAATCTTTTAGTCTCTAATTTATGCTGGGAATGGCATATATTCCCAAAACCAGCCATTTTCAGATGTTTTCAACTTAGAACAGCATTACCAGCTTCTTGCTTCATTTCCTTGCAAGCCTTACTATGACAGTAATGAATTTGACATAACGAGAAGTGGGGTATTTGAAGAAGGTGAGAGTCAACATTGAAGCCTATAGACTCCAAGGAAAACATACAAAGCCTTGGTTTTGGGGCTGAAGCATTCTTAAATATGCTTTTGCTTGAAGCAGTGTATTAGGATTAGTTATAAAACTAGTTGTATCAGTTATTTGGATACTTGACATTTTTGCTTTGATATGAAAATTACCTGAATTTTTAATACCTTTTCTCTTTTTAGATATGTGATTCTGTTGGACTGGCAAAACAGATAGCTTTGCATGCTGAACTGGTAAGAATCCAAGATGTGGCTGGGCACAGTGGCTCACGCCTGCAGTTGCAGCACGTTGGGAGGCTGAGGTGGGCAAATCATTTGAGGTCAGGAGTTTGAGACTAGCCTGGCTAACATGGTGAAACCTCGTCTCTACCAAAAACACAAAAATTAGTTGGCCGTGGTGGCATGTACCTGTCATCCCAGGTATTGAAGAGGCTGAGGCACAAGAATGACTTAAACCTGGGAGGTGAGGTTGCAGGGAGCCGAGATCACACCACTGCACTCCAGCCTGACTCTAATATCTCCAGAGCCAGACTGTAATATCTTAAAAAAAAAAAAAAAAAAAAAAAAGCAAGATGCTTGATTTTCCAAAAATGTTAACTAAAATAATATATTATCTCTTTCATATTAGCAAGTAAATAAAATGATTTTGCTAAGCAAGGTTAACAGTGGATGCTATTACCAACATGGCATTTAGAATTTGGATAATTGTTTACCATTGAATGTAAACTGTTGGTGTGCTTTCTCATTTATAAATGCAAATAAAAACTGAAAGGTTACAAATGTGGTATTAACTGAAATGTCTAAAATTTAAAGTTATTTCATATTTAATTCATTAGTTTTATTTATCTGTTCTTTAGGATCGTAGGGCATCAGAAAAACAAAAAGAAATAGAGAGAGTAAAAGAGAAGCAACAGAAAGAACTCAGTAAACAAAAACAGATTGAAAAGGTACACAGTCCTAATGTCTGATCTTTATGTGTTGTTTGTGAAGACTTATTTCAGCATCGTGACTTTTAGATTTGAAATTCCAAATTAAGGGCTATTTCTGCTTGTTCAGCCAATTCACAAACAGATGATTCATAGCATAGCAGAAAAGGGTAACATCTGGTTTTTGTTATGATGTTGATATTATAGTTATGTTGACATGTAATACGACTGTTTCACATTTCAGAGGAGGTTGTCTCTGTCAAAGCAGTTCTTTTGAGAGGCTGTTTAGACTTAATTGCCATTGCTGAAAGCCATTTAATTGCCTTCTATGTGGGGAAATATATATACGTGTGTGTATATATGTATGTTATAGATTACATATGTAATATATAATGAAATAATATATTTTTAATACTGCCAGGAATTTCAAATCATTGTCCATCCAACAGGATAATTTTAAAAGCAAATTTCAGAGCAAAACTCGAAGGATGTATTAGATAAATGATTTATGAGACTGTAAGAGCATGTTATGGGTTGTAGCACTCACAGAAGGAAAAGAGGAGACAGCTGGGATACTTACTAAGAACAGATCAGTAAGCATTGGCTGTGGGCTGGCCATCTGGACAAAAAAGAGGGAAGTGGCAAAGATGACACTGAAGTGAGGCTTTCCTGATAGCCTAGGCTGAGGGAAGGTGATAACTGATTTAGCAAGATGAATTGGACAGAGATGGTGAAAAGGGCCGGAGAAGGGAAGGGAAAGGAGTGTGGGGTGATCCCTTACAAGGGTTTTTTCTATAGTGTATAGTGAGAGATGATGATGGCTTTATTTGGTTGTTGGTTGTAAAAAGAGAAAAAGAAAACATTAGATTTTAGTTTGAATGCTGTCTTTTACAGGATGGTGCCAAAATTCATTTTGGTATGTATTGTTTGGGTGTAACTTTTCTTTTTATCAAGTTTTCAGAAGTATGTGTATGTATTTATGGCAGAAGAATTGAAGTGGCTCTAAGAATGTATCTTAGGCCGGGCACGGTGGCTCGAGCCTGTAATCCCAGCACTTTGAGAGGCCGAGGCGGGTGGATCACAAGGTCAAGAGATCGAGACCATCCTGGTCAACATGGTGAAACCCGTCTCTACTAAAAATACAAAAAAAAAAAATTAGCTGGGCATGGTGGCATGTGCCTGTAATCCCAGCTACTCGGGAGGCTGAAGCAGAATTGCCTGAACCCAGGAGGCAGAGGTTGCAATGAGCCGAGATCGCGCCATTGCACTCCAGCCTGGGTAACAAGAGCGAAACTCCGTCTCAAAAAAAAAAAAAAGAATGTATCTTAACTGCATAATTTTCCATTTGACTGCAGGCAAGTAACTTAGTTTTTTTTTTGTCTTTTTCACTAGGACTTGGAAGAACAAAGTCGGTTGATAGCTGCTTCCAGTAGACCAAACCAAGCCAGTAGTGAGGGGCAGTTTGTTGTCCTTAGCAGTAGCCAGTCAGAAGAGAGTGATTTGGGAGAAGAAGGAAAGAAGAGAGAGTCAGAAGCATAAACTTACACTTTTTGATCTTCCCCTTTGGAATTTGACAGTTTCTGTGGTGAAATGGCACAAGGTAACAACTATGTGGAAATATCAAGGAGGAAACTAAGCTTTATATTTGCTTATTTGTTGTAGCTACATTTAAAAAAAAAATGGATTGAACTTGATGACTTAGGTTTGCATTGATCTTTTTTCCCCACCTTAAACATAATGTACTATGCATTAACATCTAAAGGAAACCTGCTCATCTCCCTGAAGTAGACTGCTGAGAAATTGCTCAAGAATTTTTTCCTTCAAATTGTGAACTTTTGAATCTTGCATTGTAATTGGCTATGAAAAATCATTTATTCTTCAGGCTTAGACATTCATGGTTATGGTCCTTTTCTTTCATTAGGAAAATTTTGCTGGCAATGAGGAAGCATTTAGCTGAAAAAGTTTAAAGCCCTTTATACAGAGAATTCTACAAGTTTGCAAATATTTTAACAATATTAATGTGCAATAGAACTTTTATAAAATAATTAGATTTTACACTTAAGGTTTCAAATTGTGGTAGGTGGTACTGTTGATCTCAGGGCACTTTCTGGGATTGCTCACATTTCTCTAAGGTACTGCACCTGATGCCAGTAGAAAGAAGCTTAAGTGTCTTCAGTTCAAGATTGATAGACCCCCTTGGCATTTTATTATCATATTCTTAGTTCTCAGGTTGGAACTTCAATTACTGCTGCAGAGCAGTGGTGGTTAAAAATAAGATATTGGAATTTATTAAAAGATTTTTGTTGTTCACATATATTTTAGATTAGGAATGACAAGTAAAGACATTGCTATGGAGTGATACATTGTATTTTCTGCATTGTGTGAAATAGTTTTTACTGAAAGTCAAGTGACATTTCAAAAGAAGTTCTGTAACAGTTACATTTCATGCTTAAAGTAAAAATTACCAGAGTTTAGTTTAGAAAATGTAATCTTATAAATTTCAGACTTATAGTCCCAGTATTTTCATAATCCCATGTTTTGATAAAGTATGGAATTACCACTTTATATCCACAAAGACAAATAACTAATGTATGAGAATAGAATAATTTACACTAATTATTGTAAATATGTCTACTCTTCAAATGAGTAAAAGGTCCAGAAAGATTGAAAAGGAACTGAATGCCTAGGATAGTATAAGAGAAGTTGACCAAGGAAGGATTTAACCTGGTGCCAAGGTTAAAATAACTTTTCCCTGTTGCCTATGTTAAACCTACTGTCTATGTTAAACCTTAATTTCTACTGTCTATGTTAAACCATAATTTTTCTGTAAACACATTTTTAACATTGCTAATAGAAATTATGTTTTCATGTGTTTCACGTGAAAAAGTATATATACACACACATATATACACAATATAGTGTGTAAAATATTTTACATAGTCACACATTTACAAATTTTTCAAGAGGTTAGCCACTAAGACTAATAATTTTACAAGGGGAAGGAAACCCCCTTTTTTTTCCTTTGATATACAGTTTTTCTTCTTAGTTCTGCATTAGAAATGGCATCTGTTTTAGGTCTCAAAATATAACTCGGTTGTTTCATACTGTAAATGTACATTGTTTTCTATAGGAATAGGATAGATGATATATAGGCTCATGATAGTCCTTTGATCCATGTGCCAAATGGGTGTAATGTTTATTTACTGACACCTTATGTTACCAAAACATACAGTAAAAAAGTAGAAATTTATGAAGTACTTTTTGATAAAAAGTTTATTTTGTGCTTACCAAAGGGAATGCTTTCACAGTAGTGTATCAGTTCTTTTGTTGAAGTTGGAATTTCTTCTATTGCCAGCACTTTCATGGCAAGTCCTGTGTTTAAGACCTTTGGAGACTAGAGCTTTCTGTTCCATTAAGTACTATAAATTGTCACTTCGCTTAGTTCAGATGAAGTCTGTTACTCTACACGGAAGGTGGTCATCAGTAGGAGGCAGCTTTACTAAGCTGGTGCTTTGCATGGTAGCAAGTGCTGCCCTTTGTTAGCACCCTGGGTCATAGTGTAGGCTAAAGTTAAGGGCACTGGCAGACTTAGGGATGCTGGACAGACCTGTAGTTCGTTTTAAGTCATGTTCACAGGAATTTCTACAATAATGCACCCATGTCCATAGGTAGAACAAAGTGCATTCCAATGCTAAATAGAAGTTATGAATGGGTTTAACAATTTTAGATGATTCAACTTCTGTTCCATTACTTACTATTGAATGATATGAACTATTCCATTACTGCAAAGATTTAAGTATTTGTTTTAATAAGCTTTTTGTTATTTAAAGGCTGCCCATGGATTTCTGCCTAGTGGTAAAGCTGATTATTATCCTCCTTTGAAATCCCTTCTAGATCTTGAGATGCTTGGAAAGTAATTGGATTAGATTTTGCATATCTTTTCTCACACTGAGTTAATGTTTTTAGAAATCACCAAAACTGCTTTTTTAAAAGAAAAGATATTAAGCCTGCCTACTTCTATGATGCATTCTGTTACTTAAATGAACAGTACATTTGTAACTATTGCAATGAAGTCAGTAGTTAGGAAACCAGTTATTCCTTATACCTTTAAAAATTTTGAAAACTTGCTAAGAGAATAAAGCTGTTACCTTAAATAGAGTCCTGGCCAAGCACAGAGGTGCACACCTGTAATCCTAGCACTTTGGGAGGCTGAGGCAGGTGGATCATGAGGTCAGGAGTTCAAGACCAGCCTGGCCAAGATGGTGAAACCCTGTCTCTACTAAAAATACAAAAAATTAGCCGGGCATGTAATCCCAACTACTCCAGAGGCTGAGACAGAGAATTGCTTGAACCAGGGAGGCGGAGGTTGTAGTGAGACAAGATCATGACATTGCACTAGCCTGGGTGACAGAGTGAGACTCCATTATCTCAAAAAAAAACCAAACAAACCAGAGTCCCTAAAGCTACCCTAGTTTTTGCCACATCTGCAGTGATTATTTTCAAAAGAATCCTCAGGCTCCACAATCTAGGGGCATTCTAGGGATGACAAAATCCTATATGGTAAAGGCATCTGAGTTAACTTTGCATTATGTTTAGGAACCATAGTATTTAAAATTTGAATCCTATTATCAATGCTGAGAGATCCTAAGAGCTAGTATATTGTAAAACCTGCCACCTGAATAAAATGAAAATATTAATGTTGGTTTTCAACCTCTTAGCATTCAGATTGTATTTTAAATATTTAAACATACCAATTGTAGCAAGCAACGCTTTATTTTTAGCAAGTTTGGTTTACTCTTCTCCCATGAGATTTCGTTTTTCTATGTTAATTAGTAATACATAAAGATTTGAAACTGGAACTATATTATACTTTTTAACCAATCTCTGTGGCTTCACTCATATGAAATTTACTTCAGTTAATATGAGACTGGGGATTAAGTTGTAACTAATGTGCAAAATTGCTTTGTTTATTTGATGATTTTGTAATGTAAGTGAATTGGTTAATTTTTATTTCACTGACACTCTTAATCATGCAGTGTACAATTTAAAATCATGCAATGTTTCACTTTAGAATTGGATTTGAAGAACTCAGCTTTTTGTGATCATGGTATACATGTGGGATGGAGAACTTATTTTTTCATTTTGTCACAATAGGTATTTACTGACAAGGCTTCAGGAAAAAAGTTGTTAGAAGATTTTTTAATGTATAATAAAGTCCATGATTTTCGTACAGTGTTTTTTGTATGAGATATTTGATACTCTGAACTTTCTCAAAGTAATTTCAGATATTTGTAAAACAGTTGGACATCTTAATCTGTTACAACATTGTAAATTATACATCTAGCCCAACTACAATTCCAGAGCAGCTAAAATGAAAAAAAAAGTTGTCACTTTATTAGGAAAAGTTTGTTACAGAAGCAAACTAATCCATCACTGGTGACTTCTTTTAGCAAAGGAAAAAGACTTCGTTAATTGATGTATACTTGCTACTGTTGGGTCCTACTCACAGAAATTCCTCTAATTTAAAGGGGCAGATTATTGTACATACCAGTATAGTTTGGATCTAGAATTTTTAATACTAATGCATATTCGTCCCATGTGCTCTCTCTAGTTTCTTATGGGAATTAGTTCTTTACTTCTGGGATTTAATGTTTCATTTTGAATTTCACAGAAATTTATATACACCTTTAGAAGGTACAGGAGCTAGATGAAATTAACTTTAGAATTATATAATTTATCTGATATAAGTGCATGTATAGTGTAAATATATTTCTATATTGAAAGATATGTAATCAGTTATCAGCTTGATTTTAAAAAATAACTTCATATCAGCTATATAAATTTTTTAATGTAAAAAACCTATAAAAATAATTTAAAGTCTGTGCTTACTGAAATAGTCTACATAGCCATTTATCCCTACACCAGAAAAAATTATATAGCTTCAGTTTCCCTAATTCTAATGGATTCTATCTAATTTTATCTAATCCCTAATTATAATTAGATAAAATGGATTATCTAATTCTTTTAAAAAGTACCAAGACTAGACATGTAAACATCAAGGCTATAGCTGACTGGGCTGTAGTGAAAATGGACGTTATCATTTTACCTGTTATCCCTGTTGATATGGCTTCTAAATGTGGCTCAAGTATGGTGGAATGAATGTCTTTTTCATTTCTTTCCTCACTTTCCACACATAGAAATGTATACTTACATGCAGGTCTGGCACAGTGGCTCATGCCTGTAATCCCAGCACTTTGGGAGGCCAAGGCAGGCAAATCACTTGAGGTCAGGAGTTTGAGACAGCGTGACCAACATAGTGAAACCCCATCTCTACTAAAAATATAAAAATTAGCTGGGTATGGTGACACACACTTGTAATTCCAGCTGCTTCAGAGGCTGAGACATGAGAATCGCAGGAACCCAGGAGGCAGAGGTTGCAGTGAGCCAAGATTTCGCCACTGCACTCCAGCTTGGGCAATAGGTTTCTCAGAAAAAGAAACCTATGCTTACATGCAGTATGAAATATATAGAAATAAAAATCTGCCATCAGTGAGCCCCTTCATATTCATTTTCAGGCTTGGTTCAATACAGAAACCATAAGCCGTCATTCATTTGAAAACACTTGTAATCCCAATTCCAGTGATCACATTAACCAGTAAATGATCAGCCATAGCCAGGGTTTTGTGGAAAGAAGGGACACATGTTTCTCATTAATAATGAAATTTGAATTGAGGGTTCTGTTTCAATTAGCTGAATTACCCTATCTCTGTACTTGACTTTACAAAGAAACTGTAATAGACACTAAGCTGGTATTGGGACTTTTACACAAGAACAGCAACTGCTAAGTCATGTACTAGGGTCAGTATATATTTAGTTCAATCACTGTGATGTACAGTAGGTCTCCTTATTCATGGTTTCCCTTTTTGTGGTTTCAGTTACTCATGGTCCAAAACTATTAAAAGGAGGCCAGGTGTGGTTGCTCACACCCGTAATTCTAGCACTTTGGGAGGCTGAGGTGGGTGGATCACCTGAGGTCTGGCATTCGAGACCAGCCTGGCCAACATGGCGACACCCCCATCTCTACTAAAAATACAAAAATTAGCCAGGCATGGTGGCACATACCTGTAATACCAGCTACTCAGGAGGCAGAGGCAGGAGAATCACTTGAACCCAGGAGGCAGAGATTGCAGTGAGCTGAGATTGGCACTCAAGCCTGGGTGACAGAGCAAGACTCCATCTTAAAAAAAAAAAAAGTATTAAAAAGAAAATTTCAGAGATAAATAATTTATGAGTTTTAAATTGCACACCATTCTGAGTAACATGATGGAGTTTCTCACCATCCCACCTTGTCCTGCCTGGGACCTGAATCATCCATCTGTCCAGTGTATTAGCACTGTAGGGCATGCGTGTACAGTCGTATGTCACTTCACAACTGGCTTAAAGATGGGGATACCTACTGAGAGATGTGTTGTTAGGTGATTTTTGTCATTGTGCAAACATCATAGAGCCACTTATACAAATCTAGGTGGGACGGTGTACTACACATCTAGGCCATGTGGTTTACAGCCTATTGCTCCTGGGCTACAAATATGTACAGCATGTTACTGTTCTGAATAGGCAATTATAACATATGGTAAGTATGTATATAAACATAGAAAAGGTATGGTAAAAATACAGTATTATAATCTTATGGGACCACCATCACATATGTGGTCCACTGATGACTGAAACATTGTTCAACGACAGTAGCTGTATAGGAACAAACATAGTATATATAGGAAAAAACATAGTATGTATAGGGATCTGTACTATCCCCTTTTTCAGGCATCCACTGAGGGTCTCGGAACATATCCTCAGAAGATAAGGAAGACTATTATATATATACTCGATAAAAAAGATACTGTAATGAGTTATCTTGACTTGTCAGAAGTGCCATCTATTATTTTGAGCATGTAGACACTGGATTTGTGCACTTAATATAAGATCAGTACAGAATTAGAGCTAGTATATTTCAGTTAATTGAAATTTTTACTATTTGGGTTTTATTTTTTTTAACTGCCTTGAGAATACTAGTCATTTATATGTTGAGAGGCTATGTTCAAAGCTACTTTTTAAGAAAATTTTCTTTTAGAGATGTCTTGCTCTGGTCACCCAGGCTGGAGTGCAGTGGTGTGATCACAGCTCACTGCCGCCTTGACCTCCCATTGCTGCCCAAGCAGTCCTCCTGCCTCAGCCTCCTACACAGAGGTACTTTTTAAAAATTGCATTTTAGGTATTGGGGTACATGTAATGAACATGCAAGATTGTGGCAGTGTGATTTGCTGCCTTCCTCCCCTTCACCTAGAGATAGCATGGGGAGAAATGCCAGCAGAAGTACTTTTTAAAAGACTTAGACTGCATTGAGATTTTAGTTGGCGGGTAAAAAAATATGAATCATACATAAGTATGAAGCAAAAAATATGAATCATACATAAGTCAAATTTTAAGGAATACAGCTGCAGAATTATACCTTTTCCATTAGAATGGTTTGATTACCAGGTTCCTGTAAAAATTCCTTGTCCATAAAGGTCGTATTCTTCGTAAAGGACATATGCTTTTAGACGATTGGGTAATGGAAGAAATGACACGAAGACAGGGCAGCACAAATGTAAACGTCCCATGCACTTCCGGATCTTTAGGCGACAAGTGTTTTAGGGAGCGAGGGTTTGCTAAAAGGAAAAGGCACATTATCCAAAGAAAAAAAATCACTTATTTTTTAGTATCTTAGGGTTTTGTTAGCAAATGTATTTGAGAGCATTTTATTTGCTGTGATTAAATGGCAAAGTCAATAGGGAAACAATTTTTCATTTCACATTGCAATCCTTATCCAGTGCCATGTCAAATTAGAGTCCAAACACTGGCATCCATTGTAGATCTGGCCTGTGAGATCTAAAGTTCTTAAATCTGCATGTGGCCAGGTGTGGTGGCTCATGCCTGTAATTCCAGCACTCTGGGAGGCCAAGGCGGGTGGATGACTTGAGGTCAGGAGTTTGAGACCAGCTTGGCCAACGTGGTGAGACCCCATCTCTACTAAAAATACAAAAATTAGCTGGATGTGATGCCCGCATGCCTATAATGCCAGCTACTCAGGAGGCTGAGGCAGGAGAATCATTTGAACCCAGGAGGCAGAGGTTGCAGTGAGCTGTGATTGTGCCACTGCACTCCAGCCTGGTTGACACAGTGAGACTCTGTCTCCAAAAAATCTGCATGTTTTAGCCCCCCCAGGGACAGGCTAGAAATTGAAGATTACCACCCAAGGGTAAATAATCTGAAATAAATTATTAATTTGTCTTACGTGCTACTTTGAAAGAATTTGGTTTGAAGAAGGTCATTTGATACCCTCTACAGATGTAGCTCTTAGCTTTTTCTCATCCTTGCTTTTATTGCCATATCATAGCTTTTCATTCCTGTGTCATAGCGTTCTTTGGTAGCCATGGTTAGCTATATAAGTAGTTATCTAACAGATTTTATCTCCTTGGAAAAGGTAATAAATACAAATTAAGTGTAGTTAGTAATAGTAACATTTTTAAAGATAGGAACAGTATTTTTCTGGTTTAAGTCCAGCATTTAACTGGAAGAGAAGGGTATTCTAATTCTAAAACAACCAAATAAGAATACAATTAGTATTTTTGTAAAAAGTCTTCTACAAGGATACTCACTTAAGATAAAATGTATTCCTAGGGCCGGGGGCGGTGGCTCACGCCTGTAATCCCAGCACTTTGGGAGGCTGAGGTGGGTGGATCACGAGGTCAAGAGATCGAGACCATCCTGGTCAACATGGTGAAACCCCGTCTCTACTAAAAATACAAAAAATTAGCTGGGCACGGTGGCGCGTGCCTGTAATCCCAGCTCCTCAGGAGGCTGAGGCAGGAGAATTGCCTGAACCCAGGAGGTGGAGGTTGCTGTGAGCCGGGATTGCGCCATTGCACTGTAGCCTGGGTAACAAGAGCGAAACTCCGTCTCAAAAAAAAAAAAAAGATAAAATGTATTTCTGACCAGATCCCCTGTTTTTGGAGCACAGCTTTCAACTTTTGAACAGATCCGAACTTGATCAACATAATCAAGCATCACTCGAACAACCTTTCCAGAGGGATGTTGCAGCCATGACAAAGTTATTATTTCACAGAACTGAGGGAAAGAGTCAGAATTATAAAAGTCAATGAGAAACATTCATCAATGGTTTAGCATAGTAGTCAAAGGAGATGTGGTGTGATGAAAGCCAAGAGGGAAAAATGGCTCAAAAACGGAGGGATAATAGTAGCCAACTGTACTTATTCTGATTAATTTTTCATCAGAAAAGTCATCAAAGGAAATCATTTAATCAGTTGCTTCACTTGTGAAACTTCGTCACATTGCTAGGCAGAGTTAAATCACTTTTATCTCTGTACTCTTTCTGTTTCTTTTACATCTTTCTACTATTGTGTTTGTTTTTATCATTATTATTTTATCATATCATTTATTATATACTAGGATCTTTTCAACCAGCTTCTGGAGAGAATGGATGTAGTCTATATATTGCTATAGTTCCAGGGCCACAAATAATGACTGTAAGGGAATATAGCCAATACTGTGGACTTACCTTAGTATCTTTGATAACTGTAGACGTCCAGCCTTCAGAAGTATAGGAAGGATGGACTTTGTCCCCATGAAGGCAATCAAAACATCACTGTGTCATATCCGTAGTTCAGCAGCATCCTGAGCATGACTTCATCTTTCAGTATGTATTGCAGTGCCGATGGGAAATGTAAAGGGTTAACTCTGCAGAAGTAATGGACATTGGCCCCATGCCTTAGCAGCAGACTGATCAGCTCGTAGTTGCCCATCCTGAGGGCTATCTGGAGGCAGTTAACCGGGTCTTGATTAGGCAGAGCTCCAGCACCCAGAAGCAGCTTGACTGAAGAGAGGTCACTGTTTGATACAGCATATTACAAAGCTGACTTCCTGTGGTCATCGTAGTGTTTGCGAATTCTCCGATACAACATGACGTTCACATCAAATCCAGCTTGGATTAGGAGCTCCAGGCACTGAGCATGTGCTCCTGCTGCTGCGCAGTGAACTGGACTGATGCCACTTTTTTGCTTCATGGCAGCGAGATCTGTAACTGGAATCTTTAGAGCTCTGAAAAAGAATTTCAAAATTTCAAAAGGATTTCAACATTGTTTTTAAGATGTAGCACTAACTTGTTTATTATCGTTTTAGATTAATACTAGATAGTATCAATATTCAGATGGCACATTTAGAACCCCCAACCAAAAATAAAAGCATAATTTCTTTATCCAGAAGCTCCGATACCAAGTAAAACTGAATGGAATTACTGTCAGGCTATAAAATTCAGAATTAGCCCAGAGACCTGAGGCTTCCCATATTGCCTAAGTAGCTGAGAAAAAAGTTTTATATCTCTTTGGTGGCTTCAGAGGATGCCTGGTAAAGCCATTTCTAGCTCTTCCTAGTTGAAAAGAGTTTCTCTTTTTTTTTTTTTTTTTTTTTTGACGGAGTTTTGCTCTTGTTACCCAGGCTGGAGTGCAATGGCGCGATCTCGGCTCACGGCAACCTCCACATCCTGGGTTCAGGCAATTCTCTCCTGCCTCAGCCTCCTGAGTAGCTGGAATTACAGGCACGCGCCACCATGCCCAGCTAATTTTTTGTACTTTTAATAGAAACGGGGTTCACCATGTTGACCAGGATGGTCTCGATCTCTTGACCTCGTGATCCACCCGCCTCGGCCTCCCAAAGTGCTGCGATTACAGGTGTGAGCCACCGCACCCATCCGAGTTTCTCATCTTTAAAAGGTATGTTTAGGTTTTGGGATCAGTGATAAAGACAATAGAGTTTTTAGAAGCAGCTCAAAATAAAAGATAGCTATTTTTATTATTTATAATAATGTAATTGAACTTACAGTAAGTGGCCCCTGTGAGCTGCCACATGGATGGGCAGGTGGCCTGAATTCTTAGGGATGTTGGCATCAGTTCCATACTCCAGTAAGAGAACCACAGCATCTGGATTTCCTCCACTTGCTTCAAGTAAGATGGAAGAACAATCAGAGGCCTGACCATGAGCATTAGCTTCTAATAGGAGAAAGACTCTTGTTAATGCAAAAATTGTTTTCCACTGTATTTAAGCAATTTAAAAAATATATTACCATCACCAAAAAGCAATTAGTGAGTATGGACTTCAGCAAAGCACCAAGAATCAAAGAAAATATATACCTCCTGCTCTCAAGCAGCTTATAAACTAGTTGGGGAAGAAAAAAATGGCAGTTTCTAAGCTGTAAATAGGTTGGTTTTTGAAGTAATTTGATGTTTGTTTGTTTGGAACTTGAAAATTCCAGTAGAAATACTGTATAAAAGTTGCTTTTATTTCTAGATCAGCCTATAAAAGCCACTTAACTCATAACACACATATAGGATGGTACTAACAAATCTATTGAACTGTAACACCATTCCATCTAATGATACCCTTTTGGTGAAAAAGGGCATTTGTTCTGTTTTAGCTTGTTCGTAGCAGACCATAGTAAGAGACATTGTAATTGTTTTAAATTGAAGTTAGGAACTGTGAATAGCCAAAGAGATACGTTGTAGTACAGTTATTGGTACCAATTATCCTTTATCCAAAATGCTTGGGACCAGAAGTGTTTCAGAGTTCAGGGAAAAATAATATATATTTGCATTATACTTAGAAGTCAAATCCAGAAATTCGAAATCTGAAATGCTCCAGTAGGAATTTCTTTTGAGCATCATGTTGGTGCTCAAAAAGTTTCAGATTTTGATTTCAGACTAAGAATGCTTAACCTAAACCCTGTACACTAAGTGTTTTGTGAGTTGTGTGAACAATAAGCGTACAGGTGCAGGCAAAAGGTCTTCTAGAAGATCTAGGGCTGGGGTTGTGAGGGGAACTGGGAGATGAAGGAGAAAACAGTTTGGGTCAGTTGTATAAGGCTTCTCAATAAAATGGGCTCTGAAGAAAGAGTAGCATTTAAAAGTTGAGGAGAGCATTCTGAAGCTCATATAAAAAAAGGTGTAGTGACTTTAACACAGACTCCATAAGAGTCATCAGGGTACAGTGGCTGCCTTAAGAAGTCTGATAAGCCTGTTTATTGAGTGCCCACTATGTCCTGGTTCCTTCATGTGTATAATAATTTTTAAACTTCACAACAATGTTCAGCAGTGGGTGCTAACAGACTCATTTTAAAGATGTAGAAACTCATTGAGTTTAAGAGACTTCCCCAAAGATGCACAGCTAGTAAGCAAGGTAGTCAGGATTTATACACAGGTATTCTAGACCCAGGGCTTATATCTGTGACGCCATATTGCCACTCTAGCAATGTGATTTGCTAGAGTGGTAACATGATTTGCAGGGTGGTAATGTGATTTGGAATCAGATGTACCTTGAAATTCTGGCTCTGTCATTTACTATCTATGTCACTTGGTGCAAATTACTGTGTAAGGGAGTCACTTAAAGGAAATGCTCACTCACTGAGGTCAGTTGATGCTGGTTTCTTTGCAGGGTAAAAGCTTTAACATCTGTTGCCTCTCCTCTTTCTCTGTATTTTAATCAATGAGCTATACAAAAGGTTACTCTTTCCTCAAAGATGAAATATCCCATTCTTTTGTTACTCCAGCTAATGACTTTAGACATTTCTTATATTGATAATTTAAAACATCTTACTTAAAATGTCTTATGGCCATTGATTAGAACCTAGCCTCTCCTGTATACCACAGGCAAGATTTAGATATGTCTGAAAAGCAAAGGTTGGGTGCAGTGGCTCACGCCTGTAATCCCAACACTTTGGGAGGCCGAGGCAGGTGAATCACAAGGTCAGGAAATTGAGACCATCCTGGCTAACACGGTGAAACCCTGTCTTTACTAAAAATACAAAAAATTAGCTGGGTGTGGTGGCATGTGCCTGTAGTACCAGCTACTCAGGAGGCTGAAGCAGGAGAATTGCTTGAACCCAGGAGGAGGAGGTTGCAGTGAGCCAAGATCGCACCGTTGCATGCCAGCCTGGGCAACAGAGCAAGACTCTGTCTCAAAAAGAAAGAAAGCACAAGGCTGTTCTTAACATAGGAGTCTCTGCCATCTAGAATACTGGAGACCAGGACCATTTATGGTTAAAGAACAAATAAGACTTCTAGACATAGGGAGGAGAATAAAGAAGATAATCCTATTATTAAGACTTTAAAAAATCTTGATAAAAGTTTGCTTTGAAAAAAAGCTTTAATTGATCGTACCTTGCTTCATCTAACAGTATCACCAATGGAGCTCTCCTCGAAGACAGTGAAGGCCAAAGTTCTCTGAGCCAAGGGTCCCTGCCAGTTAAGTCAGGATTCAAAAGGCCACAGCTACAGAGCTGAGGATGGGTGGGAGCATGTTTGAAGGGAAGTCCTGCAACTGGCACCATCACTGACCTACAGTTTCCTCAAGTACAAAATGAGGATAATACCCACCTCACAGAGTTTTTAAAGGGTTATGAGGCAACATGGGTGGTTTAGTCCTTCTTGCTTAGACAGTACCCAATAAATTGAAGCTGCTTTCCCCTTCTCTTGGTGTTTGGCTTGTTACTAGAGTGAAGAACTGAGACCCAAAGAGAAGAAATCGGGAAGAATTTCTTAATATCTAAAGCCATTTGGAAACTGATTAAACTGCCTCATGATTTAGGCTTAGGCAAAGGTAATGTGTAGAGGATGTTGCAGGGTCTTTGGCTTTATGATTCTAGAAAAGGACAACAACACAAAAAAGTTAAAAAACCACCACCCTCTTAGCACAGTGAAGGAGTAAGTAAAAGTAACCTGCATCCACTTTGGGGAAATTATGTCATACCTAATAAAAAAATTTAGTCTTTATATTAGTCTCAGTAATCACTATTAACCTGTAATTTTTATCAAACATTTATATTAGGCTTAAATAAAATGTTAGCTTTTATTATTTTGAAGCTCTCCATTAAGAGGAGAACACCTGGATCCTGGTACCGTTATTGTGCTGACCCTAACAGAAGATCTTGCCTTTCCGCAGTAACATTTCCATGATTTCAGTGTGTCCACTTTGGGCAGCAAGAGCAAGAGGAGTGAATCCATACATGCTCCATGGGTCAGGGTGTGCCCCAGAAACAAGCAGAAGCTTCACCATGTCCTCTCTGCCCAGTTTGGCTGCTTCATGGAGAGCTGTCCTCTCGTTGGCACAACGCAGATTGACATCTGCTCCATAGTTGATCAGCAAGGCAGCTGTGTCATAGGAGTCACATAGCACAGCTGGGAAATGAGAAGTGAGCTGGGTGTGTTCAACGGGAAGTTAAGAGCAGAGTAGCATATCTGCAAGTGTCCTTCAGGCTTTCTCAAGTTCTTCCCGCTGACTCCCAGACCCCAGCATTCTGTGTTTAGGAAACAGATTGTGAAGTAAGACCTCTGTCAAATAATATTGAGAGTGTTTTTTTACATCAACGGACTATTTGTTTTTCTGTAATCCATGAGTAATTATTCATTGTCTGCCTATGTGGACAATTATTGTCTGCTTATGTGGTTGAAACACAATTCTAAATTTTTCACTTACCTTTATTTTTTCAAGGAAATGGGAACTTAAGTATTCAGTACAGTCCTGGAAATGTTTGTAACTGCTTTAAGAAAAAACAAGACAGCCCAGCCTCTGAAACGTGCCAAAAATAAAAAATTTAAAAAGCAACAGAACCTACCCCAGAAAATGAATGACCAAAACATAATTTAAATATGCATGTCTGGTGGGAGTGGTTGAGGCCATAGAAAATGATAGTTTTGCCTATCATTTCTGCATAGCACACTTTGGCAACACACCAAAGTTTGTTGTGCAGAAAGCCCCTTAAGGTTTTGTAAAGAAAATGATTTTGTAGTTTAAAAAATACCAATAAAAGGCTTGGGAAGACTCTGTGTGTGTGTGTGTGTGTGTGTGTGTGTGTGTGTGTGTGTGATATATATATATATATATATTTAGATATATATATTTAGATATATATATTTAGAGTCTCATTCTGTCATCCAGGCTGAAGTGCAGTGGTACAATCATAGCTCCCTCCAGCCTTGAACTCCTGGGCTCAGGCGATCCTCCTGCCTTAGCCTCCCAAGAAGCTGGGTCTACAGGCATGTGCCACCATGCCTGGCTAATTTCTTTAAAAATTTCTGTAGAGATGCAGTCTTGCTATGTTGCCCAGGCTGGTATCAAACTCCTGGGTTCAAGCAATCTTCCTGCCTCAGCCTCTCAAAGTATAGAATTACTGGCAAGGCTCACCCTGGCTGCTAGGGACCCCCTGGCTAGGGGACTGTGCTCACAGCCAGGGTGGGCCTGGGGGCTGCTACGGGCCCTCTGGTGGGGGCTGTGGGCTAGCGTGCTGTGCATAGGTACATAGTTTTCACCTATTTCTACATGTCTACATAATTTAATAATGTGCACATATTTGTACTCATGTACATATGGTGTTATCACAATAAATATATATGTACATAATATGTACACAATACATATGTACCTAATGTGTACAATATGTACTTTTATTGTGATATGCATTATATATATATTGTGATTATATGTTATTGTGATTATATATATATCACTGATATTTCAAGAAATGTACATATTGTACACATTATGTACCTACGCATTGTGTACACATTATATAAATATCAAGGTACATATTGTACCTATTATATACATTTATTGCAATATGCCAATAAATGTACACATTATGAGTACATTCTGGGATATTATTTTTAGTATATTAGATGGAAATTACTCCTGTTATCAAAGTGGATATGCACCCATGTGTGTACATATTTTACATGTGTACATATTGTGCATATTATGCACTCGTGTACAGATGGTACATATCTACACAATGTGTACATATATGTACATGTGTACTTGTACATATCTACATACTGTGCACACTTATGTACATGTGTATATATTGTACATCTGTACATGATGTACATGTGTACATATTGTAATATCACAATAAATGTATATGTACATAATGTATACGATATGTACATTTATTTTGATATGTATTACATATGTATTGTGATTATATATGCTGTTGTGATTACATGATATCATTGTGATATTACAATATATGTACATATTGTACACACTATGTACATACCTATTGTGTACATATTATGTACATATAAGTGTACATATTGTACAGATTATGTACATTTATTGTACATCTGTATTGTGTACACATATGTACATCACAGTAAATGTACATGTGGTACATATTATATACATTTATTGTAATATCCCAATAAGTGTACACATTATGAGTATATTCTGGGATATTATTTTTAGTATATTAGATAAAAATTACTTCCAATATCAAAGTAGGTATACACCCATGTGTGTACATTTTGTGATATTATCCATCATATCCTAAGTAGGTATTACTCTCATTGTGAAAGCAAGTGTACACTCTGTTCCAATATCACAGGCAATGTACAATGCTTCTGTGATGTAGTTCCTAATATCCTGGGGACAGGGGATGATTATACCCTGAATATCGCAGGAAGTGTACACCACCACTGTAGTATTTCTTTTTTTTTGAGATGGTATTGCTCTTGTTGCACAGGCTGGAATGCAATGGCACAATCTCGGCTCACCACAACCTCCGCCTCCTGGGTTCAAGCAATTCTCCTGCCTCAGCCTCCCGAGTAGCTGGGACTACAGGCGCGTGCCACCATGCCCAGCTAATTTTTGTATTTTTAGTAGAGATGGGGTTTCACCTTGTTGACCAGGATGGTCTCGATCTCTTGACCTCATGATTCACCTGCCTTGGCCTCCCAAAGTGCTGGGATTATAGGCATGAGCCACCGCGCCCGGCCTAGTATTGTTTCTAATATCCAAAAACGGAGAGGATATTACGCCAAAGATCTCAGGAAGTGCACAAGCCCCCAGGGATATTGTTCCTAATAACTAGGGAATTACAGATGATATTACTCACAATGTGACTGGAGCTGTATGCCGGTCCTGTGATATTGTTCCTAATATCCAGGGAAGGAGAGGATGTTCCTGCCCATATGGAAATACTCTGAATATGGCAAGAGGTGTACACCATGCTCTGATATGGTCACTAATGTCCATTAAAAAAAAAAACAACTATATCGAATTAAACATTGCAAGGGTGAAACCCTTCCCTGTGCTTTCAATTCTAATGTCAAGGAGGGTGAGGTGAGGATGACATTTTTGTCAATATCACAGAGGTGTAACTAGAGCTAGTGTTATTGTGCCTAATGTTTAAAAAACCCAGAATAACATTATCATCTCCCTATGATATGGTTCCCAGTATCATATTACACCACATTTTTAAAATAGCTGGTCTCTAGCAGCCAGGGTGGGCCAGGGGCCTCTGGCAGGGGCTGTGGACACAGCTCCTTAGCTAGGGGTCCCTAGCAGCTAGGGCGGGCTGGGGGGCTGCTAAATACTGTGCATATGTACGTAGTTTTCACCTATTTCTACATGTGTACATAATTTACATAATGTGCACCTATATATACACATGTACACGTGGACATATGGTGTTATCACAATAACTGTATATGTACATAATGTGTACATAGGTACATTTCTTGTGATATGTATTATACATACATTGTGATTACGTATGTTATTTTGATTATATATATGATATCACTATTTCAATAAATGTACATATTGTATGTGTTATGTACCTACGTATTCTGTACACATTATATAAATATAAATTTACATATTTTACAGATTATGTACATTTCATCTACATATGTATTGTGTACACATACGGACATCACAGTAAATGTACATATTGTAGATATTATGTACATTTATTGCAATATACCAGTAAATATACACATTTTGAGTACATTCTGGGATATTATTTTTAGTATATTCAATAAAAATTACTCCTATTAAAGTGTTTATACACCCATGTGTGTACATATTGTACACGTGTACATATTGTGCATATTATGTACTCGTGTACAGATGGTACATATCTACACAATGTGTTCATATATGTACACACACATTTACATGTGTGCATATAGTACATATATACATAATGTGTACAATATGTACATTTACCGTGATATGTATTATATATAATGTGATTATGTTATTTTGATTATATCATTGTGATATTACAATAAATGTACATATTGTACACATTATGTACATGTGTATGTGTATACATTATATACATATAAATGTCCATATTGTACACATTATTTACATTTATTGTACATATGTATTGTGTACACATAAGTACATCATAGTAAATGTATGTATGGTACAGTTATATACATTTTTTGTTGTATCCCAATAAATGTACAGTTTATGAGTATATTCTGGGATATTATTTTTAGTGTATTAGATAAAAATTACTTCTAATATCAAAGAGGGTATACACCCATGTGTGGACATTTTGTTATATTATCCGTCATGTCCTAAGTAGGTATTACGCTCATTGTGAAGGCAAGTGTACACTCTGTGATTGTTCCAATATCACAGGTGGTGATATTGGAATGCTTCTGTGGTATAGTTCCTAATATCCTGGGGAGAGGGGATGATTATACACTGAATATGGCAGGAAGTGTACACCACCACTGTAATATTATTTCTAGTATCCAAAAACGGAGAGGATATTACTCCAAATATCTCAGGAAGTGCACAAACCCCCAGTGATGTTGTTCCTTATATCTAGGGAATGAGAGATATTACTTACAATGTGACTGAGGCAGTACACCCGTCCTGTGATATTGTTCCTAATATCCAGGGAAGGAGAGGATGATGTTACTGCCATATGGTAATACTCTCAATATGGCAAGAGGTGTACACCACGCTCTGATACGGTAACTAATGTCCACAGAAAAAATAATTATATTGAATTAAATATTGCAAGGAGTGAAACCCCCCTGTGATTTCAATTCTAATGTGTATAGGGGCGAAGATGATATTTTTGTCAATATTGCAGAGGTGTAATTAGAATTAGTGTTATTGTGCCCAATATAAAAATAAAATTAACATTATTTTCTTTCTATGATATGGTTCCCAGTATCATATTACTTCAATTTTTCTAAATAGCCGATATGTAGCAGCTGGGGGAGGGGGCCGGGGTGCTGCTACTCGCCTGTGGCAGGGGCTGTTAACACAGCCCCCTAGCCAGAGAGTTTGTAGTGTACAATGGGGGCCGCGGTGATATTAGTCGCCCTCTGGTGGGGGCTGTGTGTATAGCCCCCTAGCCAGCAGGTTCATAATATCCAGGGGGGCCAGAGGGATAT